TCTCGCCCCCCATCGCCCTGCCATGCTCTCTGAGCACGGTAGCCTTCAATGAATATTGATTGATTATTTTTACAGTCTAGACTTATTATTGAAATAAGATGTGATTATAATATAATTAGATATAAGATTTAAAGATTATAAGTAGTATTTGAAAGTACCACTGAATCTTATTAAGGATTCGATTTTTAATCCTACCGGATGTTGAATCAATGTTCCAATAGTTTTTTAATTAAGAAGTCCTTCTAGAAGCTTCTGGATCCTTGAAAGATCATGTACAAAGTCACGTAGGCATCAAAAGGGCCCCTGTTGCGTACGTGTTCATGGTGCCATTGTCATCCAGGACCAAGCTATAATGAATTTTTCATGATTCTAATATGATTTTTGATACGATTTAGATATGATTTTGATATGATTTAGATATGATATAGAAATTATACATTTCTTAGATGATTATTAGATATGGTGGGTAAAAATTTCCCACACCCTCAACGCCCACACCAAACATAGAGCCCCACCGCCCGCTCTTCCGATTTCTAGAGAGCATAAACTTGTTGTGTGGGGCTTGAAGAGATGGGGCGGGTTTTTATATGAGAGGGGGAGGAGGAGGGACTATGATAGAGCCTCATGTGGCACAACAGCTTCCGCTGTGTCTGTACACTTATCCAACTTTTTCCTTCAAGTGAATGTAATGTGTGAACTTGCCTGTGTGTGTGTGTGTGTGTGTGTGTGTGTGTGTGTGTGTGTGTGTGTGTGTGTGTGTGTGTGTGTGTGTGTGTGTGTGTGTGTGTGTGCTTTTTAGGTCTAGCATCAGCTGTTGGGCCCCCGTCTTTCTGTCGTTGGTGTGCGTTTATAACGGGTCCCGAACCCTCTTGTTTCTTACCATGCTTGATACTTGCTTGATACGGGTTCTGGGAGATCTTCTACTCCCCAAGCCCGGCCCGAAGCCAGGCTTGACTTGTGATAGCTTGGTCCACCAGGCTGTTGCTTGGAGCGGCCAGCAGGCCCATATTATCCATCACAGCCCGGTTGGTCCGGTAATTCTTGAAGAAAACTATCCAGTTTTCTCTTGAAGACTTACACGTTTTTTTTCCGGCAATATTTCTTATACTCGCTGGTAGGATGTTGAATAACCGCGGATCTCTGTCGCCTCTTATCCTTATCTTCCCCCAGCACGGAATCTTGGTTCTCTTAAGTTTAGTCGTCTAGCATCACTGGACTTTTACTAGTTCTGCTTTATTCTTTTTTTGTTGGTGGGATTCCACACTAGGGTTACCTGTGCTAGTACTGGGCCAACACAGGTGGTGGACCGGGGCCAGGGTTGTGTATACTTGTGCACTTACGAGACGTGTTCATCTTTCCTTAGTCATGGGACCACAGGAGGGGGTCACACTAGGGGACCCCACACCACGCTGGACCCCACACCACGCTGGACCCCACACCACGCTGGACCCCCACACCATGCACACTCCCATCCAAGTGCTGCATTTGCCATGAGGGACCAGTTGCCGGGGGGTCCAGCTGGCGTCTGGGGTCAGCTGCCGTGATGGACAGCTTCCATTGGGGTGTATTTTCCGTGGGGTCCAGTTGCCGTGGACCTTAGATGCCGTGTGGGGGGTCCAGTTGCCGTGTGTAGGGAGTGCAGCTGCCGTGGGAGGCCCTTGGAACAAAATAAGAGAGGGGGGTACAACTAAGCGCATGAACAAGTGGCATGCAATATTTTCAAACTTGTTCTGAAAGTTTGTTGACGTGACCGGAATGTTAAGGAGGACAGCGCCGCCTATTGGACAGTTGGTGAGGTCTTGACCAGAGCCCTGGGGGCCCTCCTTCACTGGGGGGCCCTCCTTAACTGGGGGCCCCTCCCTCAAGCGTGTTCAAAGGCCACATGAGAGAATGAGTGTGGCACTGGTGAGGGGGTCAGGCACTGGTGTGGGAGACCCATTAGCATGGTGCACTGTTTACAAGAAGCTGTTGCTGGTCGCATTTTTCGCTAATTAGTCCAACTGTTATTCAGGTTTTTCACGAGGAAATTGCGTAGCAATATATATATATATATATATATATATAATATATATATATATATATATATATATATATATATATATATATATATATATATATATATAAAATATTGCGATTTTACCGAAAATAATCAAAATTTATTCAAGTAAGTGAGATGCCTCGACGATATTGATCAGTCCCTCCTCCTAAGGTTTCCCAACGCGGAGAAAACGGTCAATTTAAAGTGTCCTCTCCTAACCCGCCAGAGGACCCAAAACAGAAAACGGGACAGTACGTCACTTTCGCCACCCGCTTCCATTTTTTCTAGTACGACAATTTTTGGACCTTATGTAACGCATACGATCGAAAAGCGACGTTCTTTGTAAAGGGGGGGGGGTGGACAGATTGTATTGATATGATATCTTAAGATCTTGAGATGATTTCGGGGCTTTAGTGTCCCCGCGGCCCGGTCCTCGACCAGGCCTCCACCCCCAGGAAGCAGCCCGTGATAGCTGACTAACACCCAGGTACCTATTTTACTGCTAGTTAACAGGGGCATAGGGTGAAAGAAACTCTGCCCATTGTTTCTCGCCGGTGCCTGGGATCGAACCCGGGACCACAGGATCACAAGTCCAGTGTGCTGTCCGCTCGGCCGACCGATGGAGAGAGAGACCCATTACTTGCTCTACTATAATTAAGAAACATTAACTTTAAACCTAAGGTTGAACAAAACAATTTAAACTAGGCGGCCCTTTCGTTCAGCTTAGGCTATATAATACAAATTTTATCCTATTAAAAATTCTTACATAATAAAATGAACTTGATGTAAGGAGACAGCTATCTGCTGGAAGTTAGGATGGTGGAATAAATTAGAATCTTAGGAGTAATTATCATATATAATAGTGAGAAACTTTATTTAGCTTTACGTCTGGCAGCGAAGCGGGCGCCAACTGGCGTGGGGAATATATGTTTATTAACCATTCTCAAACATTTAGTGGGGGGGGGGGGCTGTGGGGGATTGGGGAGATTGGGAGGCTGTGGGGGATTGGGGAGACAGGACTGGGGAGATTGGGAGGCTGTGGGGGATTGGGGAGACAGGACTGGGGAGATTGGGAGGCTGTGGGGGATTGGGGAGACAGGACTGGGGAGATTGGGAGGCTGTGGGGGATTGGGGAGACAGGACTGGGGAGATTGGGAGGCTGTGGGGGATTGGGGAGACTAAACTGGGGAGATTGGGAGGCTGTGGGGGATTGGGGAAACTAAACAGGGGAGATTGGGAGGCTGTGGGGGATTGGGGAAACTGGGGGATTGGGGAAACTAAACAGGGGAGATTGGGAGGCTGTGGGGGATTGGGGAAACTAAACAGGGGAGATTGGGAGGCTGTGGGGGATTGGGGAAACTAAACAGGGGAGATTGGGAGGCTGTGGGGGATTGGGGAAACTAAACAGGGGAGATTGGGAGGGGAAAAAAGTTGAGGAAGACGGGGAAATTCCTAGGCAGGAATAGGGGAAAAATAAGATGCAGTGTAAACATTGAGGTTTCAGACTAACCTGTTCTCTCGAATAATACGTCGTATTTTGACGATAAAAATCCCGAACGTCAAATTATGATGTACTATAAATCATAATGGCTTGCAAAATTGACGGGTTATTGCGTTTTCTTTTCGGGGGGGTTCATCGGTAAGGTTAGCTTCGGGTACGTTAGTACATCAGTTTTGGGACGTTGTGACAACTCGGGAGGACAGAGTGATCAGACAGTGGCCGGCAGGCTAGATGTGACATATAGGCCACATATGTGGTCATATGGGCCACATATGTCGTCATATAGTCCACATACGACGTTCCATACGTCCTCCATTATCGTGCAGACGATCACGTTTCGTCATGAAAATATCTTATTCTTTACGTAACCAATTTGGCGGGAAACAGAACTATTTGAAAACTTCAACGTCACCTCAGTCTGCCAATCAGGAAGTGGGTGACACGTGGCAATAATTACCCGAAATGTTAGGGATACATATCCTCAAGTCACATTTCATACTTACACGTAATACACAACGGTATATTATAGGAATACATATGGACAAGGTATACACATGGAAGCCTAACCCTCCCGAACGAATTTTAGGAATTATGGAAAAAAAACTGTTATGGTTAGGTTAAATACAGGACGGGTTATGGTTGAATGGCGGAACCCATGAGCTGAAGCTTAATCCTTCAAACTACAGTAGACGAGAACACTCCGCCATAAGAGAGGAGAAGGGAGCCGAAACCACCGTCTCATTATCAGTTTGGTCTCGTCAAATGTAAATGTTCGGAGAGGCGGCTCCCACAGTAGCTCCAAGAGCAAGGCGTCCTTGGGGGAAATGGTTCAGTTAATAACACGGAGGTGGAAGGGCCTCAAGCCAACGACTGTGAAATCCAGAACCAGGAATATCATCAGACAGTAATGGCGGGAGATTCACTTTGCGAGCCTCGGCGCGCCATCATTTGAATCCCGCCACCTGATTGGTCGCCCAGGAGGCATACTCGGGCCTGAATGGCTGTAGGCACATATTATTTAGCCTATTGGGAAATACAATACCTTTGACCGTTAAATGTTATATTGATATATTTTTTATATAACGGTGTTCATTTATGGAACATTGTAGTTTATATAGAATATTTTATGGTAGTTTTTCGTTGACTCTACATATCCAATATATTTTTGAATTAGTAGTATGCAGGATTATATAATGCATTTCTCTCTCTCTCTCTCTGTCGTCTCTCTCTCTCTCTCTCTCTCTCTCTCTCTCTCTCTCTCTCTCTCTCTCTCTCTCTCTCTCTCTCTCTCTCTCTCTCTCTCTCTCTCTCTCTCCCCCCCCCCCAAACCTACTATCTGCAGACCAACAAGTCCATGATAGTCATAATGTTCGGCTGCCACAATAGACCCCAGTAAGTGGTCAGTCTGGGTATAATAATACCACAGTCCCTCCTCCTAATGCTTATCGTTTTCTCTTTCAGGAAATCGCCTCCCTCCTCATCAGCTTTGACAGACACATTGATTGGCTCTCCAAGGAAGTCAAAATCAGGTGAGTTCTCCCTCCTCCATTCTCTCTTGTTAGTATTACAACAGTTTTATATTCGTATTATTTATCTGTGTGTGCGTGTGTGTGAGTGTGTGTACTCACCTAGTTGTGCTTGCGGGGGTTGAGCTTTGGCTCTTTGGTCCCGCCTCTCAACCGTCAATCGTGTGTGTGTATGTGGTGGGGGGGGATTGGGAACACCAGCAACACCCAGGCAACACCTTGGGAGCACCTCCGTCCCTCCAGGCATCGCATCAGTCAAGTATTAGAGAATTAACATAATTGCTCTCGGAAGATTGAGAAAACTTTCAAGAAAAAATCGATATATGATATTGGTGTCGATCTTTTAAGACAAAATACCTTTGGAAGACGTTCGTCACGCAGTCTACTCGCTATATCATGCAATTAATTTAATGATATTCGATTTAATTTATTTTAATGGAGAAAATTTCATTTTCTCCAAGGAGTACCGGACCAACCGGGCTGTGGTGGATATGTGGGGCCTACGGGCCGCTGCAAACAACAGCCTGGTGGACCTAATTCACTAGTCAAGCCAGGCCTCGGGGCCGGGCTTGGGGAGTAGAAGAACTCCCAGAACCCCATCAACCAGGTATCATTAATTACGTGACGATCAAGAGTGAACTAACGCAGGGTGAAACTGGGTCAGGTTGAATATAAAATAATTCGTCAAGCAACTGATTATTGCAATGCTGCAAACCTTCTTCCTGCCGTTGCAAAGGAGAAGGGAGGTGTAATTGGCTTGTTACCAGCACCAACCAGTCGTTGATGAGTTACTTCCCTTAAAGATACTGAATGAAAATGACTACTTTTAAAGATGCTGAAAAATTAGAAGGTGATATTAATACAATTTTCGATTGGGCAGCTGAAAATAACATGTTAAACAGTGAAAGGTTCCAGTTACTTAGGTATGGTAAAAAATTATGACATTAAACAAAATACAGTGTACAAGACAATCAAATCTGCCCATAGTGGGAAACGACACGTATTGGTTTATGGAATAATTCTGTCTGACGACCTAACGTTTAGGGAGCATAACCAAGCAAATATTGCGTCAGCCAAAAATATGATAGGATGGAGTACGAGAACTTTCACATCCAGGGATCCCATCACAATGCTCATAGTGTTCAGATCAGTTGTGCTGTCCTGCCTTGAGTACTGCTCAGTACTCACTTCCCCCTTCAGAGCAGGAAATTAACACACCAACGGTTTTGGCAGACCATGTGGCTAGGCTAGGCTAGGCATAGTTGATATTTAGGCTAGGCTAGGCTAGGCATAGTTGATATTTAGGCTAGGCTAGGCTAGGCATAGTTGATATTTAGGCTAGGCTAGGCTAGGCATAGTTGATATTTAGGCTAGGCTAGGCTAGGCTAGGCATAGTTGATATTTAGGCTAGGCTAGACATAGTTGTTATTTAGGCTAGGCTAGGCATGGCATAGTTGATATTTAACAGCTGAGGCGCAGAAGATAGGCTTCCTCGAATAATAGAGGGGAGTACAGTGAGGCATTTCAAGTTCATACATATGTATGAATGGTTTTGAGTAGATAGGAGTAAATAGGTAAAATACATATGTATGAATAGGTTTTGAGTAAATAGGAGCCGCCACGTATAGGTCAATATGCCTTCTAAATTTCCCTTATAATTGAATTAGTAATTCAAATGCGGTTTATCGTTTGACGGAATTGATAATAATTCTCAAGTATTGGTATATAATAAAAGTTTAAATCCAGTTTTGTACTTAATGCCTTTAATGTTTTGTAAATAAAATAAGGATGGATTGTTAAAATCCAGGTTAAAATTCGAACCCGTCCAGGGTTCGAATCCCTCCCCCCCAGGTTTGACAGTGACAGTCATCTCCTCTCACTGTCAGTTAACTCATTTGATGGACTAAAGAAAAATTTTAATTTCACATGGACCGGTTGAGTGACTTATTTGTTTAATGCATTTTCTGGATCTTTTGTGTTCTAAATCCTCTCATGTTATGTTTTAAATTGATGTCGGTGTTCGGCTGTTGTCGGCGTGAGTGACAGGTTGTGTGTGTACTTGCGGGGGTTGAGCTCTGGCTCTTTGGTCCCGCCTCTCAACTATCAATCAACTGGTGTACAGATTCCTGAGCCTTCCTCTGTGTGTGTGTGTGTGTGTGTGTGTGTGTGTGTGTGTGTGTGTCATTTGCAATTTTTTGTCAATTTGGTTTAGTGATTTTCTGAATTTTATTTTTAATATTTTTTGGGTAGAATTATCTCTGATTTTGTCTTAATGGTCGACATAAATAGGCCTAAATCATTGATATAAGTAGGCCTACTTCATATTCGTTTATGCTAATATATCGTAGGATGGTTTGCTCACTATTTAGTAATGATCTCAGTAAGGAAATTTTAGTTTTAACGGTAAATACCGAAGCGAAAGCCTCATTATATAGAAAACGGTCACCATTAGCTGCCAGTGACAGCTGGCGGCGGATAGGGGCAACTTACTTATATCTACCGGAGGCCTAACATGTTCCGTTCCACCGATTGCTGTTGTAGTATCCAGCGAGACTTTTGATTTCATTGTCCCCCCACCATTAGGGGTTTGGTAGGCGTCATGTCCTCATTATTTACAATGACTTGAAAGCTTTTTGAGTGATTTATATTGACTTTGAACGTCATCCAAGCTTCGCCCATGTCGTATTCTTGTCATATAATTCCTGTTAATATATATATATATGTGTGTCAGTATACATAATGAGCGTGTGTGAGAGATGTGAGGGAGGGTAAGAGCGTGAGAGGTGAGGGATTAAGAGCATGAGAGAGCGTGAGGAGTGAGGTAGAGCAGTAACTAGCGTTGAGGTCTCCGACAGGCCCAAGAGCGGCTCCATGCTGCTGTACTCGAGGAAGAAGGTCCGGTACCGGCGCGACGGCTACTGCTGGAAGAAACGTAAGGACGGCAAGACCACCAGAGAGGACCACATGAAGCTCAAGGTCCAGGGCATAGAGGTTAGTTATTGATTGTTGGTACTGTGTGTGGGGCCCTGTCCTCCTTGCTCTCTCTCTCTGTGTCTCTCTTGTCTGTCTGTCTCTCTCTCTGTCTCTCTGTCTCTCTCTCTCTCTGTCTCTCTCTCTCTCTCTCTCTCTCTCTCTCTCTCTCTCTCTCTCTCTGTCTCTCTCTCTCTCTCTCTCTCTCTCTCTCTCTCTGTCTATCTGTCTCTCTGTCTCTCTGTCTCTCACTCTCACTCTGTCTCTCTCTCTCTCTCTGTGTATCTGTCTCTCTGTCTCTCTGTCTCTCACTCTCACTCTGTCTGTCTCTCTCTCTCTCTCTCTCTCTCTCTCTCTCTCTCTCTCTCTCTCTCTCTCTCTCTCTCTCTCTCTCTCTCTCTCTCTCTCTCTCTGTATCTGTCTCTCTGTCTCTCTCTCTCTGCGTATCTGTCTCTCTGTCTCTGTCTCTCACTCTCACTCTGTCTGTCTTTCTCTCTCTCTCTCTCTCTCTCTCTCTCTCTCTCTCTCTCTCTCTCTCTCTCTCTCTCTCTCTGTCAAAACTAAGACTAGGGTTCATAAGGGCTGTTGAATGACGTACGTATTAAAACATCAAACAAGACTTGGTCTCCAATCTCAGCTCATCCGAAGCCTGCTCCTAGAGACCCATTTATTTCACGAGCCTATTATATGCCTCGTTAGGAAATAAACTTTATTCATTGGGTAACAGCCATGTAAGGAACAGGATGAGACTGAAGCCACCTGTGTGTCAGAGCCTTCATGTGATCACTTGACCTGATCTCCCATCATCCAGATGCGAGTCTTGTCTCGGAAGGAGAGAAAGGGTGAGAGCCTAGTGTCACAGGTGCCAACTACTGGTTGTCCACAGAGTTGGGCCAGGTGCGGAACTTTAATTATGTTGACCCTGTACATAAGACTAAGACTAGGGAGAGGGGGTACATGCTCTAGATGAGAGTCAACTGGTGGTGCTTCATATCAGCCCATCCTCCTGGTTGGGTCGTACTTATAGTAACGATAAGGACTATAGAACATATAGCTACGTACAAGGCAATTAAAAAGTAGAAATCTGTACTATTGAATTTGGACAAACTAGAAAAAGGTTTAGTATACATGTTCCAAAGTATACCAAAACTAACTTAACTTTTCTTAGCCTATAAATAACTTTCATAATATTTACATTATGATTAATATTATTTAATATAATTTTTAAAATATTTCCCCAATAATAATAAAAATCAAGTTCAAATTGTATATTAAAAGAAAATTTATTCAATAAAATATGGCGCTTGAGGAATATATATATGAAATTGTAGTCTAAATATGATTTCGTTGCATTAAAGTTCTGGTCAATATTAAGCTGGTGAGGAAATGTATTTTGTGTAATTGAATTCTTGTTGACATACGTTTATTAAATAATATTTTCTGTTTGGCTTTTTAATTTGACTTGACTAATGCCAGCCATTGTCAGACGTCTGTGGTCGTCTGTGTTGGTGGACAGCCGCGTGTCATGACAATGTCTGCCTTGACACATGACATGGCTACAGTGGGGTACACTGTGGGCCATATTGGGGTATACTGTGGCAATATTGGGGTACACTGTGGCCATATTGGGGTACACTGTGGCCATATTGGGGTACACTGTGGGCCATATTGGGGTATACTGTGGCAATATTGGGGTACACTGTGGCCATATTGGGGTACACTGTGGCCATATTGGGGTACACTGTGGGCCATATTGGGGTACACTGTGAGCCATATTGGGGTACACTGTGGGCCATATTGGGGTACACTGGCCATATTGGGGTACACCTTGGCCATATTGGGGTACACTTTGGCCATATTGGGGGTACACTGTGGCCATATTGGGGGGTACACTGTGGCCATATTGGGGTACACTTTGGGCCATATTGGGGTACACTTTGGCCATATTAGGGTACACTTTGGCCATATTGGGGTACACTGTGGGCCATATTGGGGTACACTGTGGCCATATTGGGGTACACTGTGGGCCATATTGGGGTACACTGTGGTCATATTGGGGTACACTGTGGCCATATTGGGGTACACTGTGGTCATATTGGGGTACACTGTGGGCCATATTGGGGTACACTGTGGGCCATATTGGGGTACACTGTGGTCATATTGGGGTACACTGTGGGCCATATTGGGGTACACTGTGGTCATATTGGGGTACACTGTGGGCCATATTGGGGTACACTGTGGGCCATATTGGGGTACACTGTGGTCATATTGGGGTACACTGTGGGCCATATTGGGGTACACTGTGGCCATGGTGGGACACCTAGATGTACTAAGATGTGTGTGCTGCATCAAACTTAGCTCCCGGGTTCTGCCTTACGAAACATTATACAAGTAACCCGATGTACTTCTTTTATCATATTTACATTTACAAATTTGAATCGAGTTAATTGCATTGATTTCTACGCTTAATATACTCCACTTGTTGACAACTCTAACACTGAACAAGTTCATTCTGTTACGCATATAAATTCGTAATATATATATATATATATATTTATATATATATATATATATATATATATATATATATATATATATATATATATATATATATATATATATATATTACCCCCCAATATATATATATATATATATATATATATATATATATATATATATATATATATATATATATATATATATATATATATATATATAATATTACATTGTGACCACGTCAGGAGACTGACAGTGTGGAGAGGGGAAAGAATGAGAGGGAGAGAGAGGGGAAAGAGAGGGGAGGAGGAGGGGGTTAGGGTAGTTCCCATGACAACAGGTGTAAGGGCTCAGGTGACCAATTTGGCTGCTGGCAACCGATAAAGTCTCGTATGTTTGTTATCTTGGTTTCCTCTGTGCTATTATTATTTGTCCTCGTCTTCCCTAAGATATATATAGGGGGAAAACCACAGCAGGGTGATGACTCAGGGAATGAATACTGAGGCTGCACGATGGGATCGAACTTGCGGTAATAGCGCGCACGCAGGTGGAGGCCTTACTAGACCAGGACCTTATTAGACCGTTGAACAGTGGAGGTCTAAAAACTGTGTTGCGTGCCTGTTCAGTCAGGCTGCCAGGTGTAACCACTCAACATTTAACTGATCAATCAGTCGAGCAGGATGTCTGGTCAAATGGCTTCCAGGGATGGGGCAGTGACCACCAGAACCTCAAGTGATAGTAATCTGCGACTCACAGGTATTACACGAAAAGTCTACGGAATTCTGCACCCACATTTCATTACTTGATTAGTGGTATTTCTACTCATTCTTGGTGGTGGGGCTGATTCATGGCGTCTGTCCAACCCGTCCTCATAATACAGCGTTGTATTTTAACGAATTCTTTACCTAAGGCCAAAAATCGTCGTACTAGAAAATGGCAGCGGCTCGCAAAATTGACATACTGTCCCGTTTTCTATTTTGGGTCCTCAGGTGGGGTTAGGATAAGAGGCCCATTAGTACGACAGTTTCTTGACGTTCGGGAACCTTAGGAGGACGGGCTGGTCTGTGAACTGGCCTGATCAGCTAAACTGTTTCTAAGGTTCGTTACCTTGCAGCAGCACCAGCAGCCCCCTCTAGCCTTAGACTTGGGCACGTTGCTGACAGCTCAGCCACTCCTCGCCCAGCCCGTCCTCCAAAAATTAGCCCGTAGTATTAAATCGTACTGTCAATTCGGAGGACGGGTTGCCTCACCTCAGTACTGGTGGGTGTCACCACCATGGCTCAACTGTTTGTCTTGTGTGAAGGGGAAGGACGGGGAACTATCAGGGGGGGGGGAAAGTGGGAGGGTTGTTTGACAGGTGATCAACATGTGCGAAATAATCACAGTAGCAATATAAAAAAAACAAGAGAGAATATCAAGTTAGTACAAGAGGATTCAACACCCCCAGTACCCCCCCCCCCCAGGACTCCATCCTACGGCTTCAATATGTACTCGCTTATAAACACATTCGTGTGATTTAACTTCACAATGAGTATTTAGTGGTTGTGGGAATACAGCTCGTGTTCACGTGTCTTTTTTTTTTGTATGTTAGTGGAGGAATGCATCTCAATGGTTTAAGCATTAGTGCTGAGGCGCGTCAATTGCTCAATGATTATCTCAGACGCTCAAAGTCGCTTGTTATACTCTCGTTTGTTAAGCCTAATGTTAATTTCAACGAGGGGCAAGTTTAGCCAAGTCACAATGTGAAGTGAATTATAAGTGTCATTCCTGTAACGACTTGATAATTACCGCACATGTGACGAGGCCCACGTCAGTGGTAATTAAACCCGTGTCTAACAACCATGCAATATTTTCAACATTTTCAGCTCTCTTGGGACACATGTTTGTGACAAGGGGGGGAGGGGATACCAAGCACCAACGACGTGGATTTTGGCCAAATGAACCCCTCCCCCCCCCAATGCTTCTCCCATGGTTAAAGATGGGTGTTATTAGTATTAATTATTATTATTGTCTTTCAGTGCATCTACGGGTGTTATGTGCACTCTGCCATCCTGCCCACCTTCCACCGGCGGTGTTACTGGCTGCTGCAGGTAAGTCCTTACCCTCCTCACTTCCCACTCACTAGTGGGAAGTGACCCTCACTTCCCACTCACCCCTCGCCCTGAAATACAGGGTACTGTATCCCGGGGTACCTTCCCCACAACATACTGTATCACAGTATACTATATCTTTCGGTATACTGTACCCCTGGGTACTGCTCCCGTAGTGTTCTGCTCCCACAGGGTACTGCTTTCCTGGGGTACTGTACTTGCTCCAATAATCATTCTCATATCTGACATACACAAATTATACAGATCTTTTTCTTCCTATGGGAACGACACTATAACATTTTGATGAGAATAGCATTCATGGGCCCACGGGGTTCTACTCACTCAAACCTCACATTACCCCTTACCCTGGGTTCGACTGGTGCAAATCTCACTCTTCCCTCAACCTGGGCTCTGCCCACTCCACACACTCACCTCATTCTTGGCTCTCCTTGCCCATATTTAACACTCAACATTATTCTCCATTTACCCACAAAGAAAAATGCCTGGGGGAATACTTGCAAAGTGGGAATTCTCAGGGGAAATATTCCTAGTGTCAAACTTATTCAGAATGGAATAGTCAGTAAATATGACAGGGAGGAGGGAAGGAAAGGTGGAAGAGGAGGATTGTTATAGAGAACTGTCCATGGAGAAATTGTCAGGTAAATATAACCTCGGGAGAGGAGGCGGAGAAATGCCTTGGGGGTGAAATTGTCTATACTCTGCAAGATTTAAAATCATTATAAAGGTCTAAAATGTTTGAGAAATCATCAATATTTCCACTAAATGATGTATAAGATAATTCAGGGTGATGGAATGTTTGATGTCCCAAAGTGATGGTGGTATGTTTGATGAGCCATGGTGATGACATGTTGATCAATTGGCCAGGGTTTGCTTATTTGTTTGCTCTTTCAGAATCCAGACATTGTGTTGGTACACTACCTAAACGTGCCCTACCCTGACGACAACAAGCTGGTCATGGCTTCCAGCATCTCCCTCTGGGCAGACAAGAAGGAATGGACCAAAGAAGAACTCATCAGCCAGCTCAAACCCATGTGTGAGTAGTCGCCAGCTTCAACTACCACTTACTACATCATATAACTCCAGGGGGTTGTACTCAAAGAATGCACTATAGTTGAGCTTTGTTTCATGCATCAGTACTACGTAACAAGGTGATCCGAGTGTACATTTTACATATAAAATCCAAGTTTTATTAATAAATGATTGTTCTTATTATATAATTGTATAAGATTACATAAAATTACTGTACATTAATTACACACAAAAGTCACAATAATAGGATAGCAGGTCGACATTATCATTATATACTGTACATGGTCACTTTCTGTGCCATTGTTCATGTGCTCATTGTATGTACATGATAAGATTAGTGCTGGAACATGGCATGTGCAGTTTGGTCGTACTGATTCATGGGCTTTCTTAACTACAGTGTTTACTTAAAATATGGTACCAACACTGTCATGCAACGCTAAATGTACAGTACATAATTAATGACCAACTTGTATTAATTACTTGAGTCTCGGTACTTATATTGATTCACTAGAATGCATTAAGTAGTTTAGAAGTGTGTGAAGTTTTTCATAAAATTAATAATTACTTGTATTTGTAATTTACAAATGCTTGTTTTTAAGTTCTCTGTTTGATAGAGATTAGATCGTTGACTTAAATACGCTAAAAATGAAACTGAACGAGTGTTGTGTTTACTGAGCATCTTTCACCTGGCTTTCGCAGTCTTCAGCGAGGACGAGCCGGACCTCAACAATGAACTAGAGATCTCGGTAAATATGTCCGGTTTTATCTGTATGGAGTATACCTGTGGAAGTATTTTGAAGTATATCACAATAGCTATTGTATCTAGAGAAACTATAGGATGTGTACATGCTCTTGGTGAGAGAGAGAATGCTCGCTATGTGAAGCTGATTACCCAAATTATTTTACTTTTTTAATGGAGTAGTTACAAACCAGTTAGTCAGGGCTGTAATAAATAACTGAGATTATTTTCAAAATAATTTCTTATATATAGTTTCTACGACTAATACAGTGACCATTAATTTAGCCCAGAAATTTACCATAAAATGAAATGTCAAATTTGGGAGTTTAGATAACTATCAGAGATGAACACTTGAGCAATATTAAGCTCATGTACAGCACAAGCTTTGGTCATCTAAAATGAGCGTTCATCCCTCTTGCAGTGGTAAATAACATAAATTATGCTGTACATTTCTCATATCTTTTGTACACATTTTAATTGTTAATTAATATATATTTTTTTTAACATTTTAACTATAGTAGGCTTATGTTTTAGTGTAAATCATGCTCTAAACCTTTTTTCCATTACATGAAGAAACCATATTATCATGATGTATCAATGAGAAAAATCAGTAGGCGCCCTAAGGAGGACTTGAACCTATGTTCTGGGTTTCTGCCTAGCACACGCCTTAGACCACTGCACCACAACATAGTACATTATAAGTTTGGGTTCTTTCTTTTATATCAAGGAAAAAAAGCCTGTTTTTAAAGTGTAAACATCCTCATTTGGATATAATTCCTCTTCAATCGTGGTAATGCTGTGCTTGCTCGTATTCTCTCTCTCTCTCACTCTCTCTCTCTCTCTTGAGAATACTGGTGTCTTAATTGTTGAGCGTGCTTCTCTCTCTCAAATCATAAATACCTAAGTATGTATGCTAAATTAAATTTCCTCTTACAGCACGAGTTAGATAGCTGCGTTTAACACACAAATTAATTTGTTGAATCGATTGTGAAAGTGAATAGTGTCGGTGCCCTCATGTAGTGACATTGGCAGTGTGATGCGGGCCAATGTACTGTAATTTAATTACATCTGGTATAGCATATATAAAATTTAAATTTTAGAGATTTCATGAAGTGTGCATAAAATATATTCCAGTATGCTAAGTGAAGCACATACAGAGAACTAAAAGATTAACAGAGAATGTGTAAGGTACTTAAAGATCAGATAGATGAAGGATATGTAGAGGACATAAGGATCAGATAGATGAAGGCTATGTAGAGTACATGAGGATCAGATAGATGAAGGATATGTAGCGTACATAAGGATCAGATAGATGAAGGATATGTAGCGTACATACAAATTAGATAAGTATTAGGTAACCAGAGGTTTTCTAAAGAGGAAGTTGTATAATTAAAGTTTTTGAAGCTTTGGAAGAACTCTGGTGTTAGATAAGTCTCGGGAAAATGAAAAGTGTGAATGACTCGTATTTGGGTCATATAGCATAAAGAAACGAAGGCTTTATTAAGTCATATATAACTCGCCATCTTCCAGTTTGACTAGATTGGGACCGATTATCATATCTGATGAATCAGATATGATGATAAATATTAACAAGAGTACAGTACTGTACATAGGACAATACTGTACTTTAAAGTGAAACTAGTAAGAACAACAATCACATAGGTTAAATTCTAATAAAAAATTCCAATTTCAAATTGGAGTCAATTAAAATACTGTTTATATATAAAATATAAATGGATGGAATACAATAATAAATTCAGTTGTGGTGCATAGAATACACACAGTTTCTTGTTAAGTGATAATGGATACTTGCTCACCCTCTGGTAAAGCTGTTCAGAAGCGCACATGCAACCTGAGGGAGTCATTAAAGACTCTCCAAGGTAACTTAACTCTCAGGCCTGTGTAAAGAAAGGCAGTAACAAGATTTAACAATAAAGAGTAAATGTTTCACCAGTATCAGAAAGAAATTGAAGGAGACTAGAAGGATAGGCAATATATTAATTGTACTAGCCAGTCATGTGCAAGATCTTGCGTTAGATTTTGATAAAATATCTTTGAAGATCTGGGTTAATAGTGTAACAGGTCTTGTAATACAAGCTCAGATAAATAACATCTTAACTTCAAAAACTGCTCAAGGTTTATGTTCTTCCATAATTTTTTTTAACATACCAAAATTTGTATAAGAGTGTGTATTAAAGGATATAACAGACCAAACTTTAATGCAGAAGCCATAATGTGAAGGACTGGATACTAATTGCATTCAAATTTGCATATTTAAAGATTTGCTTTTGCAGTAATGGCATGCAGCTCATGTTATTATTTTTCATATGTTAGTCTGTAAACACTAAATTAATCTTGTGATGATGTGACCCCAATGAAAACATTGCCGTACAGAATTAAGGTCAAATGCCTTTAAATCAATTTTAGGACTAATAACTTTGCAAGTATTGTTGTACAGCATTTAATTTTTCTAGTAAGCTTTGAGCAGTATTAATGTGAAGCTTTGGGCTGTGATTGTGGTGAGCAGTGATCATGAAGACAACATAGGATGGAGGGAGGAGGAAGTGCCCTAAACATGTTAATGTGCAGTAACTTCTGCAGTAATGCATAAAAAACAGTGATGATTGTAATAAAATGCCAGTTTCTAGGTGAGCCCCGGTGACTCCCAGAAGCTGTTACTGTATATACAATACTGATATGGTACCATCTACTAGGTTGTATCAGTCATGGAGTTCTATAGGTCTACCAGGGACCAGTGCCAAATCCTGGCCCACTCGAAGAGGTGCAGGAATTGATGACATTTATTTTTGCCACCTCACCGAGATTGGCAACCAGAAAGTCAGCAAGCTAACACAAACCCCTGCTGGCTCTAAAAAAGACAGCAGCCATGAAACCCGCCAGAAGTGGGAATGTAGCTCGCTGCTAGGTGGTGTCTCAGCCCTCATTTCTCTGGCAGATGTAGGCAGTCAACAAACAACCTGGAGGGGAGGGAGGGGGATCAGGGAGCCATGGGGCTTACCCAGAAGTTGTTTTTTTCATTACAATCAATGATGGTTTTCTGGGGGTATCCCGTTCTGACTGGCTAGACTTAACACTGCAGATGACCTGAGAAAGAAGAGCCTTGGAACAGGGAGCAAGGACAGAGAATCAACTCATAAGTCATCCATTGAAGCAGAATTGGTGGTACAAAGATCACGGCAGAGAGTTGCCACTTCACACAGCACATTATGCTCCCCCAAATGAACCAACCAAGCATCAATGACCAAAGGACCCATACGGAAGCCAACACACTCGTTCTTCCCCAGAAAAGAGGGAGCCAGCTGCAGACAAACAAAACTCCCTCCAGGGCCAAAAGAAAAAAAATTCTGCATCTGGGGGAAAGTGTGAAACTTTCCAAACTGACAGGCAAAAGCAAAAAAAAAACAAAAATAAAGACTTAAAGAAACAATCTTGGACCAAAGGACACCATAAAATGAGAGACAGAAAGAAATAAAGAAAGAAATACAAGAATGTGGTCCAGAGACCAAGCAGGCTCAGAGAGTGCATGAGTAGCGTGGAGGTGAAACAATACACAAGATGAAAGGAAAGAAAGTGGGGAAGGAGTGCCACGAAACCTCATACTGTCACAGAAGAGGAATGCAGGTGGGGCACCATCAAAGAAGCCACCTGCTCACCATAAAGATGGAATAAATATGCATAAAAAATACCAGAAATGAAGAAATCAAACCAGGGAAGTATGTCACTGGGATAACCTTCTGATAGAGGCGGAGCAGTGGAAAAACACCAGTTTTTGGACACTAAGCAATCAGCATATGAAACTAAGGCTGAACCAGTCGCCAGGGAACCTGAAAGATCTCCTTCCTTTGATAGGATTCCAACCTGGCCAGGACCCAGAGCAACAGCTGGACCTTCCCCCACTGCCATGTCATAGAGGTGTACCATGAGAGGGCTGGTGCAAAGCATAAGAGGCAGGAAACCTCCTCGAAGACTGAGCACAGTGCCAAGAAGCCAAGGAAGGACTGACCATAGGAGGTGCAAACAACCAAAAATCAGGATCCACCAAAGTTCTATCTCAACCAACAGACAGCAACTCCCATTCCCTGCCTGACACATTCTCATCCTTGGATGTGAATGTGAAACTTTAGAACACAAGAGGTTTGAAATAGGATGACAAGAAGTGGTCATAGAGGACAAAAACTGAGCAACCACTTCTTTCAGAAAGAGAGGCAAAAATAGGCAGATGGACCAGAGGCCCACAGCCAAGGTGAATCAATGACTGGGCTAGCACAGCCTGTTGACATGTGAGGAGGGCAGTATATAATGCAGCCACCATCATCTGGAGCATGGGTGTGTACAGATTGGGGGAGAGCTGCTGATGAAGGCTCAGAGGATACCAAAACCTCTGGATGCATAGGTTTTGGATGCAAAACTGCTGGATGCAATCTTTGCACTCTGTGAGTGCAAAGGATGCAACTGCACAATAAGCTGACTAACTCCTGATTATCTACTCACTGCTAGGTGAACAGGTACATTAGGTAAAAGGAAATATGCCCAACCATTTCTGTCCAGCCTGGGATTTGAACCCAGAATTCTCGATTGTGCGTCGAGAACAAACCAGACTGTACTACTAGGACCCCATGAAGGGAAGGGTTTATCATGAAATGTCTTGAACCTGGCCTTGGTTCATGACAGAACTTGGGCCTTTGTCATGAACCTGGCCATGATCCCCAGTAAACGTAGGAACTCCTCGGCTGACATGACCAAGTAGTTGGGAGCCATCTCCGTAAGATAGTTTCAGGGAGCCACTAGGGGTCACCCCAGAAAAACAGTAAACTGTTTGTAGATTAGAATGGTTTACTGATAGTTTAATAAGTTCTTTTTGCTTGTGATAAGCAATTTATCTTTATTAATAACAAAATTAAATCAAATGTAAAACTTTATTCATACATAGTTTGACATAAAATTTATTGTATTACATTTGATGTTACTGTATTGGCATTGTAGAGAACTTATCCCATCCTTCCATCCCCAACTGGGCAGTGTTGAATGTGGTATATATATATATAGACAATGTTGGTGTCTTTGTGCCTCACTCACTAAACTATTGCTCTACTAGGATTACTTGGCCTCGTCTCTGCAGATGACTTATTTTGCTACTTGTAGTGGCCTTCTTTACTTTTAACTGGGGCAAGGTCAAGGGGGATTGATTTTTCATACAAACAGTAATAATTTTGTATACTGCATTAGATTCCCTTGTAATTTATTTTCCCTTGTTCTATAAAATATAAAAATGAATGGATGCATGTAAATTCTAAACACCTCTGAAGCAGTTAGCTGACCTCCCCCCACCACCCCCCCCCCCCCCCGACTAAGCTCCCCCTTGAGTGCGCTCTGTGATCCCAGTATCAGTGTTGAGTGTTTCCATGTTCTTTTAGCCTTCGTGTGGAGGTCGGGTGTACAGCCAGCTCAGCAAGGTTAGTTTCTTCCGCATCCTTTTCCTCATGCCTCTATTTTCTTGGTTAACCTCTGCTTTTGACTTGAAACAATTCCTACCAATATCATAATTGCACTTCTATTCAAAACATAAGCTGTAGTAAAAATTTTGAAGAGATTGATAATAAGTCTGAAATATTTCACAAATAAATAAAAGGACAGTATACTGTATGTAATTTTCAGCTGAAGTACAAAGATCACATGTAAAAAAAGTGGGGAATTTTCATATTAATAAATGGACACAAAAATTATGCATAGAAGTGCATATCATTAATAAGGAGCTTGAAGTGATGCTCTTAACTGCAGTAATTCATCTTCATGTGACTAAATTCAAGGACTGGTTATATGTAACTAGTAACAATATCTTTTTGTTTTTTCACATTTATTATTTTAGACTGTCTCATAATATACAGCATCTCATCAGTGGGATACAGCCCTCTTGAAATATTTGTAAAAAAATATATATATTATATATATTTATTTGTTTATTCTGTAGTTGGAGGTCAGAGGTCATGAGTCAGACCTTTTAAACATACTTTGTGGTCCATAAGGGGATGGAAGATGCAACTGGATTACCTACCCCATAGTACCATAGGTGGATGCTCTTAGGTATCTCTTAGAAACCTGTCTTCACATAATTTTAATTGGCTAATGTAAAGACTGGACATTCCCAATAATAAGACTGATATGTGTGAATATAAAAATAATTCAGAGAATGGGAAAGGTTACACGAGATTAAAGGATTGTATTATGATGCAGTATTTATTATAATACCTATTGTATTATGATGCAGTATTTATTATAATACCTATTGTATTATGATGCAGTATTTATGAATGATGCATGAGTGTTTAAAACATTTTGCATTATTATTATTATTATTATTATTATACTCATGAACTCGCTTTGGAACCGTTCATTTAATGTTTTACCTCTTTCCTTTTTGGTCTCTGTGAATACAGTGTATATCTCTCATTTGTATTATTTAGATTTTGTCCTTCACTTGTAATTTGCCTTTTATGAAGTTTTAGAATAGGCTTGGTTTTATTTTACATTTGTCTGCTATTCCCTTCTCAAAGTTTCTTTCTCTCTTCTGTATGGTTGCTCCTTGCTTCTCTGTAGTACTGGTGTGCTTGTGGCTTTGGTCCCTTCCTATACCAATTCCATTTTCCTGTATTTTGTTCTCTGGCCCTCTTGTTATTTGAATTAAACTCCTCGCACAATATTTTTTATGTGATTCTCAGGTAACGGTTTTCCATCTAGAACCATCCCTAGATTTCTTCATTTATCATAATTTTTTAAATCTTTTTCACATAATTTGTAGGCTGTGTGTGATCTATTTTCTCCTATTCCACATACTGTAATATTAATTTACATTAAATTGAGTTGCCAAGTGGTGCTCTTGCTTGTTTCTTGCTTGTTTGTAGTGCTGGTATATTTGAGGGTTAGGCCTCTTCCTATATTGTACCCATTGTTTTCTTTTCCTTCTTGACCCTCTCACAGTTTCTGTTAAACCAATCCTGTTTTCAGGCTCTGCATCTTTGTTGTACTATAAATTTGTTTGTGTCTTCATGGTATATTTCACAGAATTTGGCATACATCTCATTTTCTTCCTAACCTAGCAATAAATCTTTCCAATTAAATTAATTAAAGAGTTTGATAAGTTGCCCATAGTGTCCTCCTTTGAAATCAAGTTTCTCAACTATTTCAATTTCCCCATTCTCTTCTAGATTTTTGTGCATTGCATATCTAATTTCCAATAGGGCATGGTCATTCTTTCCCAAGGTAGGAAGTTACTGAAAGTCAAATATCTCCTCTTCTTTCCTGGTGAATATTAAATCCAGTATTGACAGAACATCCCCTTTGCTCATTCTCATGGCCCGCTTAATGTGCTGATATATGAATGTCTCCATGATGAAGTTTACAAATCTGCCTGTCCAAATGTGTTCTGTTGTTGCTTTGTAGGCCTCCTAGTCTATTGCTTTCTAGTTTAAGTCCACAAGTACCAACAATTGGGGATTTATCTTTGTCTACTCTTACTATAATCTCTCGTGGCCATTATGAGACCCTCATATTTGTCATCTAGTTCCTCCTTTGACCATGTGTTGCTTGCTAATGGGCTGTTGGCATTTAAGATTATCAGTTTATCATCCTGATTCCAAACCTGCAGTGCCATTATGTAACTTCTTGTAAGGTGTCGATTATTAACTCTCATACCTTGAGGTGTTCTTTAACCAGCACAGCCACACCTCTACCCCTTCCTTGTTTTTCAGTTACGTCGCCAAATTGGGAATACGACCTCATTTGAAATATTTTCTTCAAGTTTTGTCTCTGTTAGTGCAATAATATCTGGGACCTAAAGCTGAATTATACCTTTTAGCTCCAGTATTTGTGTGTGTGTGTGTGTGTGTGTGTGTGTGTGTGTGTGTGTGTGTGTGTTTTCTTTTAATGTCTCATTATTGGAAATGTTCAAATACAAATACATAGACCTAATGACAAAATTAATATTGGAAGTTGGCAAGAGTGTATGAGAGCAGACAAGACTCCTGCTGCTTCACCTCCAAGATTAGCATGTCAGGCTACCTACCAAAACCTGTCTTATGCTGACCCATTACGTTATACCTTTGCCATGCCCTATTTTCCAACAATTATAACTTGTGTATCCTATTTAAAATTATCTCCTTGCTTCTTGGCATCAGCATCACCTTTATGATTGACTGTCCTCTCTCGTAATTCATAATTATTGACACCTTTCCAAAAATAGGTAGATTTCTTACATTTTACAGGCATTGTGGACAAGGTAAGGTATATTGCTACTTGCATGTGCATGGCAACAGCTTATTAAACTTTTAATTTTATTGTTATTTGTGATGTATTGTTGCCGAGTCCTGTATTGGGTAAGGAATCATTTTCATATCAGTTTATATATATATATATATATATATATATATATATATATATATATATATATATATATATATATATATATACATATATATATACACATAATATATATATATACACATAATATATATATATATATAAATAAATAATATAAAATATGGAAGTTGCCTCTTCAAGTTATAGCTACATACTTTGAGACATATTATACACTATTCCTAGTTCCCTTGAATATTATTATTATGTATAGCACTTGACATCTGAGTTTGTGAAGAATTTCTGACATTGGACAGTACTGTATTAGAGTAATGTTTATTTATAAAATAAAAGACTGCAGACAACAGAAAATTAGGATTATATTTAGTGCCTCCTATTACATATGGATGTGAATACTGTACATTGTAAATATTGTATTTTATTAATAAGAGAATTTAAGTGTGCAATTTTATGGTAATAAAAATGTTGGTACACAGACGGCTGAGACTGTGGAGGCCATTGTTGCACAGCTGATGGAGAAGCAGCGGGTTGCGCGTGCAGCAGCAGCAGCAGCAGCTGTAGCTAACAAGAGTGGTGTAGAGTGTGGATGTGGTGCAGGTGTTGGTGCTGAACACAGCAAGCAGTGTACTCTACACCCGCTTCGTCGACTGAGTGTGGCTAAGCTGCCTCATCACCACCACCACCATCACCATCACCACCACCACGAATCGGCGAATACAGTCACATCATCTCGTCAGGCACTAGTTGCGATGCCTGCTCCCTCTGACAGTGACAACAATCAGGTTAGTCTTGCTACAAAAATAATTTGTTCTAATTTCACAGCTATATATCACATAAAGCTTAAACATTTCAGAACATGTTTAAGCTAGTAGCAGTAGCACAGGCTATTAGTACAAAATAGTATGTTCAAACCCTCGTCACTGCTCCTACAGATTTTCTCGGTATAGAACAAAAGATTGTTATATATTATGTGTAGCAAGTTAAGAAATGTGTTGCAATATGCTGTGTGCATTACTGCTGCCCTATGCCCTCTAATTTTATAGCCTATGGCACTAATTTTTTTTTTTTTAACATTTGATTTAGAGAAATTGTAAACATTTCAACTTTAGTTTAAAATTTTTACACAATCATATTTGCTTCCTGTCTTGAAGCTTGAGAGCACTTTCACTTCAGTTGGTCTGTTTGTTATGCCCTCAAATCTTAACAACACAAGCCTATCTCTTCAGTTATTGCAAAATCTTATCTTTTCTGGCCTCTTATTTTCTTTTGATTTCTGGGGGATCCTTGAAGCTGTCTTGCTGAGATTGCTTCATACTAAAGTCACATCAGTTGTGGAAGATTTGTTTGACCTACTGGGGACTAGAGTCAGAAGGTGGCCCTTCATGGAGGCCAAAGTGAGTATCAGTTCATCACAGCAATGGAAAAAGCCTCCATAAAGTCAGTGAAGCTTTACAGACAGCTTAAAGGTTCACAGAAAATGAAGTCTTGAAACTACAATTTACTCAAGGGATTTTATTTTAGCATCCATGTATTTAAATGCAATTCTGAAATTGGAAATTGGCAAGCTTAGCATAGGCTCCTGGCACAGTGTTCTTTGTGGTTCGCTAGTAAGAGTTTTCTATCTAGAACCACCCCTAGATCAGTACTTTGCAGCCTCTACAAGACTCGAATCTGTGATCTCCTGCAAATTCTGGCGAATTTTGTCTGTGGTTAGCTTCTGGAAGCCACTTGGGGGCACCCCAGTGGCTTTGTTTGTAGAGTGGTTTGACAACTCTTGAAAAAGGTTACTTTCCAGCAGATCACACTCTTTCCCATTAGTCCCATACACCAATGCTTATTCTGCTCCCAAAGTCTTCGTCAGGAAGTGTGTGGGATGGCTTGGGTCAGGAAGCTTTGTTATTGGTGAAGTGCTTCCCACATGTTGGCAGTTAGGTAGGTGGCCAAGTAGGCCAAATAGTATTTAGCAAAAGTTCTCTGGTGGTGGTCATTTGTGATACCAACATGGACTTGAAAGGGCTCAAAACTTTATGGATGAACCTTATGTATGTCATTCTAGGCTGGACTGAACATTTTCAACAGTCTTGCTAGCACCAGTATGACTCTGCAGGGTTATTTGAAAAGCTACCTGCTAAAGATTCTGAGGATTAGTATCTCCATGGCCCGGTCTCTGACCAGGCCTCCCGGTTGGTGGTCTGATCAATGAGGCTGTTCGATGCGGCTGCTTGCAGCCTGACTTACGAGTTAGGCTGATTTGATAAGAGTCACAGCCTGGTTGATAAGCTATCATTTGAAGGTGTTTGTCAAGTTCTCTTATTGCTTGTTGAGTTTCCCAGCACTACAGGGACCAGTTACCTGTAGTGCTGGTCCAGAATGTTTGAAATGCCTGACTGTTCATGCTCTTCTCCAATAGATTCAGAGGATGAACAAATCCACAAGGGCCATGACGAGGATTCGAACCTACGTCCGAGAGCATCCCAGACGCTGCCTTAATCGACTGAGCTACAACATGGTAAAAAAAATTGCAACCAGAAGTTCTACTGAACTTACTTATTCAGTAGAACAAGTGCTCACATCACTCAAGTAAGTTCAGTAGAACTTCTGGTTGCAATTCTTTTACCATGTCGTAGCTCAGTCGATTAAGGCTGCATCTGGGATGCTCTCGGACGTAGGTTTGAATCCTCGTCACGGCCCTTGTGGATTTGTTCATTTGATGCATCACGCTATTGTGATTTCTGTGTGTAGATTCAGAGGAGCTTACTCTAGGAAGACACCAAGTGGTCAGCTTAGAATTAATCTTCTCAAATTTACTCAAAGCCTTATTCACTAACATGTACAAGCCTTTTGTTTTCCATCAGTTAACTAAATATTGATATCATTCAACTTATTTGTATTAAAGAGCACATTTTTCAGCAATTTATCTTATAAAGTTTGCTTTACTCTTAGTTGTTGTTATCATTTTCCAAAATTTCAATTAAACAATAGTTGAGTGTGTACTGTTGAAGACCTAACATAAAAACTTTGGAATATAGAATCATTATTTTAATATTTTGTTAAATAATTTTCTTCCTTGAAATATGATTACATGGAACTTAAATACAGTATACAGAGAATAAGGCACAATAATGTGGCTGAAACAAATAGCCTAACCCACACGTACGTAATGAAAGTGATGTTTTGGTCCATCCTGGACCCGTTATCCAATCATGACCTCATGACATATTGGGCCCTTATCAAGTCGTGACCTCATGATATCCTGGACCCTTATCCAACCATGACCTCATGACACATTGGACTCGATAAATTATCAAGTTGTGACGTCATGACATCCTGGACCCCTTATCCATTCGTGAATTCACAACTTGATTAGGATCCAGGATGGAGCAAAATGTTGTCACTCATTACATGTGTGTGTGGGGTGGGCTTATTTAAATATATTCTTCAATATTTTACTCTATGTGGCTAGTACAATACAGTCTTGATAAAGTGCATCAGCTGAGTACAAACTTTACTGAAATGTTTATAGTTTCATAGATCATTATTTTTTGTAACCTTTATTATTATGGTTATATATATATATAATTTTTTTTTTGGGGGGGAGGGTAGATTACATAAATCTTTATGACCTCACAGTGTGTGATATTTAGTTTTATTTTATAGTAGGAATATATATTAATTAATACAATTATTTTTAGGAGATTAATATAGAAAACATTTGTCCACATTTTACATTATATGATGTCTTGCTCCCTCTGGAATTTCCCCTTCCCTTTCATGAAAATGTAGCTTTAAATAAAACTTTTCTTTAGTTGCCTTCAGTTGTCGAGAGACATTTGGAGGAGCAGTTAAAACAAGGGCTAAGGAATTACTCATGCTTGTTTGGCTATCAGTTACAGCGAAACATCTGTCACTTCACTATGTAATCACAAGAACTTGGTGAATCTATGATAAAATATTGAATCCCATGAGATGGGATCGAACTCACGTCGCTGAACTCCTCTTGCACGCATAGCCATAAACTGGCTCATCGCGGTCCAATTAGTTCAGTAGTTTGTGTTATGATGCGGGTTTGATTCCTTCATACTGCTGCAATAGTTTCTCTATCTGTCAGTCAGTTACTCCAAGAAATAAGAATGGGAGATATGATCTCAATTGCCTGTGTCAACTTAAAAAAAAAAGGCATGTTACACAAGTAACACAAAAGGAAGCAAAGCAAGAAAATTGTGACGTATGAAAGAACTGAATAGGGTAAGGAGGATAATAACAATAATAATTTCTATTTATATAATTGAACATTAACCAGTGCTAAATTTAGTTTGTATGAAAAAAGAAAAGTATAAATGGGATAGTTTTACTGATGTCATGGCATTGCTTCCATGATAAATGATGGTAACCAGTCCATTGCTTGTCATTGATATAGTTAAGCCACCATCTCTTAGGAGAGCCCTCTGTGGCTCCCTGAAACTACAATGCTGATATGCTAAACTACTAGGTGCATGACTCGTGGAGTTCTTTTTAGCCTTCCTAGGACCATGAGCCAGAACATGGTCCCCCCTTCAAAGAGGCACAGAGAGCAATGGCACTATGATGAGATAAAAATGTCTGAATTTTAATCATGTCTGTCACCATCAGGAAAGGACCCAGAAAGTCACGAAAACAAAACAGACCACTGCTGGTAAGACGTAAGACTGATGCTTCAATATAGCCAAAAGAATTCCCCCAACAATGTAAACAAACCATTGAAGATTCGTGAAACTAGTGCAAGCTCATTTGTCCAGCTCATCCTCTAAACAAAGACCCAAAGTGCATTCCATGCACCCGCCAAACCCCCCTGTTTATGAATGAAAAACGGTTTACACATGACTCGCAACTGATGATGTCTGAACACTTCTGGAATAAATGGTTCACTGACAACTTTTGTTCGAAATACAATGCTGTAAATGCTTCACCCACGTACTACAAAATTAAAATAATTGGCAACAGAGCTCAAACACCAAACCTAACCAGTGCCTAAATTTGCACAATGTGCTAATACAGTGGTGCCTCGATTAACAAATTTAATCCGTTCCGGCACCGAGCTTGTCATGTGAAACGCTCGTCTTGCAAAACAAGAACAACACTGACGTCGGAGGCGTCCGAGAACCAGTGGGAATGCTAAGAAGCACCGTGTGCTTTGCTCGTTAATCGAGCGAAAGCTCGTCAATTGAGACAAATTTTCTGCGAGTGACTCGCTCATAACTGGAGTCACTCGACACTCGAGGTTCCACTGTATATAATATTGTTCATTTATATTTGAGAAAATTCCTATTTGAATGAACAGCATGTTAAAATTGATGAATGCGTCTTTGGGGTCGACCGCTGGATGAAATGGACTTGGTCTGAGGACGGGTTGCGTTTGTCTCATCTCTTCTCCATCATTTCGAGGGGGGGAAGGTGGGGGGGGGGAAGAGAGGAAGACGGGAAGAAGCCAGACTGGGTTGGCTGGCTGCTCCACTTTCAGTTCATTGCTGTTGGTAGACATGTGAGGTGCCCTCTGTTGCTCTGGCTCCCATGTTCTCCTTCAGCTAAGTGGTGTTTTTTTTTACCCTTGTGACTGTTCAAATGCACATTGTGCTTTGTGAGCCAGTAGTATAGGGGCACTTGGAGCTGCATGTGCACAGGGCTTTCTTCACTGTGTACTCCCTAGTACTGTCTTTGCGCTTCCAAGGTTTTCTTCCCTGGAGTGTTTGGGGTTCGCTCCCTTAGAGGGTTTTCTTGCTTGTGGTGGTCCTTGCTCTAGGTAAGTCAGTTTGATTTTGGCTTTGTCTTTCCTGGGGTTGGGAGTGACTTTGGCTTGCGGGGCACACTGGGGTTCATGGCAACCCGTTCTCACAAATTTAATAAGTCAATATTGACTTACTAAATATGTGCATAAGTGACATACTTAACATAATAGTTTCCCTTGAAAAGCTTCATAGAAAACACCGACCTTACCTAACCTACTTAGTATGTTAAGATAAGCATCTTATTGCTTCGTAATTACAATTATTACCTAACCTATACCTATAATAGGTATTGCTTATTGCTTCGTAATTACAATTATTACCTAACCTATACCTATAATAGGTTAAGTAACAATTGTAATTACGAAGCTATAAGATGCTTATTTTAACATACTAAGTAGGTTAGGTAAGGTCGGTGTTTTCTATGAAGCTTTTCAAGGGAAACTATTATGTTAAGTATGTCACCTATGCACGCAACTAATAAGTCAATATTGACTTATTAAATTTGCGAGAACGGGTTGCATGATAGGCCAGGTCAGCCTTCTCAATCTCAGGTGAGCTGTACTGGCTTACTCATAACCAGTCCAGTGTCCATATGACTCTACCCCATTTGTATACCAATATATAGAGACTTCCCTTCTCTGGAGGTCCTGTTTCATACTCCTGGATTCCAGTGAAGCAATCCCAGTGCCTGGGCTTCCTGTACGGCTATTCCCTACAGACCCTGGTAAACTCCTGCAGGTTAGGTGGCCCAATGGATTTCCCTGCCAAATCCGCTCTCACTATGTGTTGTGCATCATCTGGATTGTGCATCGTCTGTGTCACGTGGTGTGACACTCATTCCTTCTATCTCGGCCTTGCTGCCTGCTGGGTTGGATGACACCTTCAACCCCAAGTCATGTTGGACTTGTTCTCTATACACCCTTCTGAACCCTCCTGTTGTCGTTCAGGCAGTAATTAATTTGTGACTGGTTTTTCTTTTGCAGAAAGTTAGGTTGTTTGCCCATCTGAATGCCCCAGAGTTGCCATAGTTGGTATTTAGGGTCTCGAATTTGGGGGTATTGGTTTTTTCAATGATGGTTACATCGGCACCTCATCTTCCTTCCTTGTCGAGTGTGATGTTTATTTTTACCTTGCTTCTGGCCCTGTGGTGTCTGAAGGTTTCGGGGTCAGGGTGAGGTTTAGCTCGGGATGTGGCTTGGTCCACTTTGGGGTTCACCCCCATTCAGTTTGGACATGGATGCAGTTGTACCTGATGGTCACACTGAGACTTCTGGGTCTCCTTTTCAGCCAGCCCCAGCCTTTGATGCCTTATTTTGAACTTCGCTTCTCTATCCCAGGAAGTGGGCATGGATGATGGCTGCCCTGGAGTCCCTTACTGCAGTTCCTGGAGTTGAAGGGAGTCAGACATGGGCCCGTGGGTTCGGATTTGATCCTTCATGGGCTCTTTGCCGTCTGCGAAGGGCCTTCTGTTGCAGGGTAGGGAGTTTTCGTATGCCCCAACCCTGTATGAGTTTGATGTGGGTGAGGTTTCCTCCCCAGGGTTTGTTTCCGGGTACCTTTGGGTTCCTCGGCTTTTTCCTGGTGGAGGTTTAGGAGACCTTCTGTGCATGCCTCCTATGTGACTCTAATTCTGCCTTGTTGATGGATCCAGCTTCTTTTAAGTTCTGTTTTTTTCCTCCTTATTGTTTGTATTTTTAGGTTTTGGAGTCCTCCTGGCTGGTGGCATCTACTGTTTTCACTTGGGGCTTGGCGTGGCTTCCAAACTTCCTGTTGATTCAGTAGAATCCCAGGTTGTATAACTTATCCCAAGTTAGGGTGGTATAGTGTTAGTGTTTGAGGCCGACAGTGCCTTGGTCATGGGTTTGAGTCACCTCAGGGCTCCAGTTGATTTTCTCATTGATATATATGACATTAGTGTGATTTCTGTGTACCAAAAAAATAAATAAATAAATAATAATAATATTATTATTATCAATATTTTTATTATATTTATTCAATCAATAAACAATCCATTTGACAAGTTAAAGTGGTTACATAGTGAATAACATAATTATTTATTATATAAAGCCATTAAATATGCATTACTGTACTGTATATAGAATGCTACAGCACCTATGTTTAAATTCATTGTATTTTAAAAGATCCATGGGACAAATTATTTAAAGAGAAACACCAAGTTGAGAGGGACAATATTAAAAAGAAAATAAATATATATTTTTATATTATTTTAATGAAGGTGAAGGAAAGACCCAATACAGTATATGTATAAATGTATTAAAAACCAAATTTTCAGATGTCACCTAAATCCTTTTTGAAGGTACTTTGAATTTTCTCAGAACATTGTATACAATACCTTGAGAAAGGATGTAGGTTACATCCGAAAATTTGTTTTTTATTACTTACACGTATACAGTAATTGGGGTCTATTCACGCATTATGGCATTGTAGTAAGTGTCTCCATTATTTTAATTTGCCATGATAACTTTTCACCATAGAGTTATGGTTTTATGTTGAATGCAAGAAAGCTAATAAAGATAGTTACGAATAACTGGCTATATGCTTACAACTTGACGAGAGTAAAGCCAAGCATTTCTTGCGAGTTGGCTGAGAATGGTGTGAATATTGGCATTCATTGTTATACCTGTGTTAATGTATCATTATGACTTTCACATTAATGATACTATAGTATGCATTTGCTATGCATCACATGTTTTTGTATAATGCAGTATAAAACAAACATTTTCTTGTCAAATGAGAAGTGTATATCGCTTTTATTCCTCGAAACATTTTTAATATTTGAATAAAATTATCATATAATATAAATTTCAAAATAATTTAGCTCTGAATTTGTGCTTTGTGTATTTTATATTTCAATTATATTTTAATAGTGAGAAACTACATATATAAATAGTGGTCACTGAGACTTTTAAGCCTGTAATTGTTATTGATCTATAACAAAGGAATATCACACATATTGACTGTAAATTATATATATATAATTCAGTAATGAAGATACTTACAATTAATAGTATGAATGTAGAGTAGTGAAGTATTTGTAGTGTGTGGGATAAAGCCATGGCTGGGGACTCCATAGGCAGACTGGTCAAGGCCTCCCAGAACCTGCTTTTGCCTATTCAGTAGAGTTTGACACAAACTTATATCTCTCTTATTTGCATGAGAAGTAGTCACCATATTTCTTGAAACTTTTGACATAGTCATGCACAGAAAAGAAACTTAAATTAAGTACTGTACAGTAATAAATTTGATAAATTTATCTTGAAATGCAGGATTGGGATATATTTCGTAAGATAACTTGCAGGCTATACTATAACTAATTATTAGGATAAATATTACCAATATTTAGGCTATAATATAGTTTCTAGAGATAATGTAAACTTGCAAAATTTTACTACATATGTAGAGTGTAGTGTTCTTTAATGTATTCCTGTACTGGAACAAGATGTAGATGTTCCAATGTAACTGATGCTGTATGCTGCTGTATGAGTTGAAGTGTCCTCCATCAATGACTGGAGTGATCAAGTCTCCGTTTCTTGGGACTTAGAGAGTAGTCATGTGTTTTAATATTATGACTGATATCTTATTTACCTGCAATCAGTATTATTAGTCAGTTTAAAAAACACTTTGTTTTTAACTTAGTACAGTAATTCAGATTTGTTTGAAATTAGTAAAGATAAAATTCAACAAAAGAAATCCTTGCAACTTGACACCACCTGTGACTGTAGGTGTGAAGTTGAGGGGTGCATGTTTGTCCTAGCCAGCCCCAGCCTGCCCCAGCCTGCCATGAGCCTATTTTGGCTTGCCCCAACCTGCTGTAACTACCACAGTGTGGTCAGGTCATAACCTGTGCGTGCATGTGATGGCTGCATGCTGCTGCTCCCACAGGTATCGTCAACGAGTGGGCCAGGTGGGTGCGTCACCCCCCAGTACCAGGGCGTAACTCAGGAGGGGGCCCGCCCACCAGAGCCCCCACCCTCTACCAGCAACACCACTAATAACAACAACAATAACAACAACAACAACAACAACAATAACAACAATAATAGCAACACCACCACGCCCAACAACAATAACAACAATCTCAACACCACCACAGCTCCGCTAATCCTGAACCTGTCCAACATCCAGGGCGGGGGCGGGCTGCTCATCCTCAACAGTGGTGGTGGGGGTGGGCATCACCCTACTCCACATCCCCCACTGGCCGGCCCCCTCACGCTCACGTCTTACTTGGGCCAGCCCCATCCAATCTCTACCGCTGCCTCCATCGTCCACGGACCGCAACTCGTTCCACACTCCACCCACGTAGCGCACCTCCACCATGCACCTCATCACCACCATCACCATCCACACCATCATCACCATATGCACCAGCAGCAACAGCAACACCCTACCCAACATGGACAGCAACAACAGCATGGGCAGCAACAAAGTGGTCCCCCACCCCAGCATAATGCGAATCTGTTAATAAAACGTGAAGGTGATAAAGATGTGATGGAAAGTCTCAAGCTAGATGCCACTAATGGTAATCTTGCCCTTGACTCGGGTACCTTTGCTAATCTTGTGTCTAGTCTTGAAGCTGGAGAAGCAAGGACAAATCAGCAACAGCAGCAGCAGCATTCACAGCAACAGCAGCAGCAGCAGCAACAACAGCAGCAGCAGCAGCACCAACACCAACAAACAACAAAAGATACTTTCTTGGGCATAAAGGCTGAATTATCTGAACTGTCTGTGGAAAAGACTGAACTTTTTTCTAATACGTTAGACCTCTCTCCAGATGACATTCAGAAAACACTCTCAGCTAACCTTCCACCAGGGTCATGTAGTCGCAAAACACCTTCCTCGGCTGATGTCAATCCTATGGACTTCATTGACAATGATATGACTTCACCTGAGGATGATGTTCTTGCCAATCTTGATGCTTTTGATATGTTAAGTGATTTTCCTGACCTGGATCACTATGACACATCCCCTCCAGACAATCTAAACAGCAACAATAGCAACAGCAGCAGCAGCAGCAGCACAAATAACAGTGGCAAGTCTGTAACAAATCAAAGTCAGCAGACCACCAGGATGGACTACCGGGAGAATACTGCCAATATTACTGACTATTCTCCAGAGTGGGCTTATCCTGAGGTGAGTTTTGTTTGTTTTTTCCTGAATGATAATTTTGCCGATATCTATACTATAAGAGGGAGTGTCTGTCTAATCTGTCTGTCCAAAGTTGAAGGCCAGACACTTGGGGTTAAACTCACTGAAATGGGGTGATGGGGATTGGGGGGGGGGAGGAATGGGGAAGATGGAGGGGAGAGGGAAAGGGGAATAGGGGAGGAAAAGTGGAAGGATGAAGGTAGGAAAGATAGACTGGTAGCTAGATAGCTGGGTGTGTGTATGTGTGTGTGTATGTATGTATGTATGTATGTATGTATGTATGTATGTATGTATGTATGTATGTATGTATGTATGTATGTGTGTATGTGTATATATATATATATATATATATATATATATATATATATATATATATATATATATATATATATATATATATGCAATTGACGATCACAAAACACTGATCATTTTATGCGGAAAATCCACAGAGAAATATGAAATGAGGTGAACGTTTCGGCTTTGTTAAAGCCTTTGTCAACACCAGACTTCTCCCTTCTCCTTAGTCAGTCTGGTGTTGACAAAGGCTTTAACAAAGCCGAAACGTTCACCTCATTTCATATTTCTCTGTGGATTTTCCGCATATATATATATATATATATATATATATATATATATATATATATATATATATATATATATATATATATATATATATATATATATATATATATATATATATATATATATATATATATATATATATATATATATATATATATATATATATATATATATATATATATATATATATATATATATATATATATATATATATATATATATATATATATATATATATATATATATATATATATATATATATATATATATATATGATACAGATATGCAGAGAGAGAGTGAGAGTGAGAGAGACAAAGAGAGAGAGAGAGAGAGAGAGAGAGAGACGCACAGATAGAGACACAGACAGAGAGAGAGAGAGAGACAGTGAGAGACAGACAGAGACAGACCCACCCACCCACCCACCTGAGCAATGCCAGGTACTCCCTTAGTATCTTATATGTTAACTAGTATTGTTGGTTATATGCCTAATTTTCTGCATTAATGCACTATCCTTAAGGTTTTTATTGTAGATTTTTATTTAAATAAGTAATATTCACCCACAATTCATATAGTAATAAGTACTGTATGGTAAAAATGAAGACTAAATCAAATCTGCCTATAGTGAGAAAGCAACAGGTAAAGGTTCTTGGAATAATGATGTCTGACGACCTAACATTTAGAGAGCATAACCAAGCAAATATAGTGTTGGCTACAAAAATGATAGGACGGATTACAAGAGCCTTCAAATCCAGGGATCCCATCACATTGTTCATACTGTTCAAATCACTTGTGCTCTCCTGCCTTGAGTGCTGCTCCATACTCATTTTGCCCTTCAGAACAGGAAAGATTGTTGAAATAGACGGAAAACAGTCAGAGAACATATACGGCATATATAGACAGGATAAAGCTCATAAACTATTGGGATCGTTTCAAAGTTCACAAAATGTTCAATCTAGAAAGGAGACAAGAGAGGTACCAAATAATATATACACTGTACATGGAAGATACTGGAAGCCCAGGTCCCAAATTTGCACAGTAAAATAACATCATACCAGAGTGACAGATATGGAAGGAAAGGCAGAATAAAGTCAGTGAAGAGTAATGGTTCCATTAGCACAATCAGAAAACACTGAATTTTATTTTAATTATTTTATTTACTCATATACAAGAAGGAACATTGGGCTTATGAGAATACAGAGCATTAAATGTTTTTACATTCTTGTAAAGCCACTAGCACGCATAGCATTTCAGGCAGGTCCTTATGTATGAACATAAGAGATCCACAGTTGTTCAATATGCTCCCAGCAAGTATAAGAAATATTGCTAGAATAAAAGTGGAAATCTTCAAGGAAAACTGAACAGTTTTCTGCAAGAAATGTCTGACCAACTGGGCTGTAGTGGATCTGTGTGCCTGCAGACCACTCCAAGCAACAACCTGTTGGACCAAACTCTCACATGTCAAGCCTTGACCTGAGCCAGGCTTGGGGAGTAGAACTCCCTGAAACTCATCCAGGTACAATCCAGCTAGTGTGTGCTCCAGTTTAAAATATTGCAGGAAAAATTCCTCTGGAAGAATGAGGGAGACATCCTATTATTAACAGGCTTCCTCTCTGAAAATATCAAACTTATTTCCATTGTGACAGGCTTTGACCTAGTCTGATCGTTTCAAGGCCTTGCTCATATCTTCTCTGTTGATATTCCCTATCCAATTAAAGACCTCGACCATATCTTCCACCGCCCTGCACCTATCTGAAGAAGATAGGCCAGGCTTCCTTAACCCCTCATATAGGAGGCCCCAAATACAAGAGATTGTATCTGGTCATCTTGACTGAATTTTCTCCAGAAAATCTTATAATATGTATGATGACCAGAGCTATACACCAAACCTAAGTAGAGCCTCACCAGGGCCAAATATAATTAGATGACAGTGTTTGCATTTATTGTTGATATTTCCATTTACAGTATTTCACTTTGTTATGAGTGTTGAAACATTGTTGCTTAGATCTCTCGAGATCTTAGATTAACAAGATCTTAGATTTTGCTAATCATGACCCTTAAAGTCAGTCTCTGTGTCTCAGTTTGCCCAAATCTACATCATTGATCTGGCATACTATATATGTATACAGTATATATTGTATTGGTTAGTAATTAGATACAAAATTATCATGTAAACATAATAAACTGTAAATTGGCATTTGATAAATCATAATTTCTTTTGGTAAATGGTGCATGAATGAACATTCAGTAGTCTTCCCTTGTGTGACATACCCAGCCACTTGGACTGGACGGTAGTGACGGTCTCGCTCCATGCAGATCGGCGTTCAATCCCTGACCGTCCAAGTGGTTGGGCACCATTCCTTTCCTCTGTATTATCCTAAATCCTTATCTTGATATTCCTTCCAAGTGTCATATAGTCGTAAGACTTACCTTTGTGTGACATAAATCTTTTATCAAAACAGGGAGGAGTGAAGGTATTGGTGACTGGTCCCTGGTACAGTAGTTCCTCCCCATATACAGTTCTTTTTGATGGCGTTCCCACATCAACTACTCTTGTTCAGTCAGGTGTTCTACGCTGCTACTGCCCTGGTAAGAATTTTTCTACCTAAAGCACTGTCATGTATGTATATCTCCAGAAGCATGAATATAGTTTGCAATTGTGGAGAAAGTTAACTTTAGTCATAATTTATTTGACGAGTAATTTTAAAATGAATAGGGATGTAAGGACAAGAAGCTGAGGAAGCACACTGTGTATTGTTTCATTATAGAGAAATATGTCGATATATCTACACCAAAGCTATTATGGAGAAAATTCTTTATAAGCCATGCCTTTCCATACCATGGTAATATACAACAAATTTTAAAGCAGAAGTTAATAGGTGTGAATACTGTATACTGTAATATATAAGTATTTTTGTGGCCTTTTGAGTAAATGATGTTGACTACAATCCTCTAAATAAATACTAGATGTTAAACAAATCATATAAACTAAAGGTTAGAATCTTGTACACTAATAATGTATTATGATATTGCATGTAATATATCCCTTTCTTGTAATTTGCAAATTGTGGTTAATGTGTGATTGATGTTGACAGCACACGAGGTTGGCCTGGTGACTCTTCAGGTTGCCTGTGAGGGTTTTGTCATCTCCAATTCTGTGATATTTGAGTACAAAAAGCCTCCATCCGATGAGAACAAAGTCAAAGAGGTACGTTGTATGGTTCTCATAAACAGGGGAGGGCACTGAGGTTTTGGACACATTTTTTTTTTTTGTAACTATTTGCATATTGCAGGTAGACATGTTTGAAAAGTGCAATAATATAGCTATAATGTTGGTTTTCAATCATTCAAAATATTAAATACAGTATACAAGATTTACACAATGACAATGAGCAGTCTCTTATTTAAATAGATTACAGTGTCACTGAAATTTTGAAGTAGGGAAAACAAAACAATGAAAATAATGATAAGAATGATGATGATGATTATAATATTAATAGTTGCTAGACAATTAGGCTGAGAGCCATCTCTAAAACAAAGTGGGAGTATGAAATCATTACGATGCACTATGAGACTAAATTTGAGTATTACGACACACTTCACTTTTTAAGGAGAAGCTTGTGCATTATCTCCCTCTATCCAAAAACCTCACTGCCCTTCCTTAAATATGACAAACCTTTGTATTATATGATATAGAAGCTAGCCAATGGAAACATTGTTGGGCTATAACTATTAACAGATTTGAAACAGAGGACCTTCAATGTGTTTATTTAAGTTATTTAGAAAACTGTAGTTTAATAGTGGGGTTATAGAAAATTATTTCATAATGTTACTCAGTATTTTATTATTTTTATTATTCTATTCTATAAAACAAAGAATGAATTTTATTTAATTAGTGTAGTTTTTAATTCTATAGCTGCTGGCACGATTCCCACAGGAGCAAGTAGTACGGGAGCAGGATGAGCACCTTTTAAAGTTCACTCTGCTACAGCGGTTAGAGACTATGGAAACAAGGGTCCAAGTCTGTCCTGACAGCCAGAAGAGCCCATCCAATTATGAAAGTGATGTCATGATGCACAAAGCTCATAATTTTGAGGTATTGATTAGAATTGTAAACGTAAATATTTTGCATATAAACACGTGAACAAAAACATAAATTTTGCTCATTCTGGTATAACAGTATAAAATGCATTGAAATTTGTCTCTTAATTTTCAATGATTTATACCAATTGAGGGACTGAAGTTAATACTCAGTGCTTAGATTCAGTCTGTTTAGAATCTATATACTAACCCAAACAAGTAAACATAATGTACATTTGCTTGATAGGAAGTTGGTTATCTGTTATTATTTTGTTTGCATGCCCTGATAGCATGAAGTTTTAACATTTGTAATTGTTGTTTTTTCAGGAACGAGTTATATTATATTGCCAGAGAATGAGTGGAAAGCAGTGGCTGAGTATGGACCAAGGGTTTGCTGCAGGCTTGCCAGAACTACATGGCCTCACTCTCCTACACTTAGCAGCCATGCTTGGATACTCCAGGTCAGTTCATTTTCAACATATATTCATACCTGGTTGATACCTGGTTGATGGGGTTCTGGGAGTTTGTCTACTCCCCAAGCCCGGCCCGAGGCCAGACTTGACTTGTGAGAGTTTGGTCCAACAGGCTGTTGCTTGGAGCGGCCCACAGGCCCACATACCCACCACAGCCCGGTTGGTCCGGCACCGGTTGGTCATATTCTCAGTGTGTGTTATATCATAGATATTCAGCATCTCTTTCTATTTGAACAGTCATTTAATATCAAGAGGATTGTGAACAATCATATGAATAATATTGAAGAATATTTACATGCAGAATTATGCATTACTATACTGTAATTGCATCTTATTACAAGGAAATCACAATGGCATGATATATCAATGAAAAAAATTATGGCAGAGTCGATTAAGGCAGGTGTCTGGGATTCACCAGAACGTGGATTCAAGTCACTCCATTGTTTCAAAATGAATTTTAATTGTATCATAATTAGTACTTGCAGTTTATTTTGAAAACTAAGAAAGCTGATAGGTCTTTACATCTGCTTCTTCAGCTTTTTATGAGAAGGCATTCTCTACACTACACTTCTTTTTACCTGACTCCACCTGGCAAATATACAGTACTGTATATGGATATGGTATTATGATTCAAATACTGTATTCCTTGTTACTTATTTTCTTGAATCTGAAAATCACCACTGTATCGAATTTAATGTATAGCTAATTGAAGTGTGAGCTTAGAGTTCAGTCTCATACTAAAAGCTGGAGAGCTAGCTCCATGTCCAGAGATCCCATCACAGTGGTTGTACTCTTCAAATCACTTGTGTTGTCCTGTCTTGAGTACTGCTCAGTACTCACTTCCCCATTCAGAGCAGGAGAGATTGCTGAAATAGAGGGAATACAGAGAACATATATGGCACACATAGACAAGATAAAGCACCTAAATTATTGGGATCGTCTCAAAGCTCTCCAAATATACTCACTAGAAAGGAGATGAGAGAGATACCAAATAATATACACATGAAAAATACTGGAGGGACAGGTCCCAAATCTGCCCAGTAAAATAACAACGTACCGGAGTGAACGATATGGAAGAAAATGCAGAATAGAACCAGTGAAGAGCAGAGGTGCCATAGGTGCCATAGGCATAATCAGAGAACACTATATAAACATCAGATGTCCGCGGTTGTTCAACGTCCTACCAGCGAGCATCAAAAATATTGCCGGAACAACCGTGGACATCTTCAAGAGAAAACTAAATTGTTTTCTTCAAGGAGTGCTGGACCAACCGGGCTGTGATGGGTATGTGGGCCTGCGGGCCGCTCCAAGCAACAGCCTGGTGGACCAAACTCTCACAAGTCAAGCCTGGCCTCGGGCCAGGCTTGGGGAGTAGAAGAACTCCCAGAACCCCATCAAGCAGGTAGCTGTTTTAACTGGACTGTCTTAAAGTTTTAGAAGCCCAAAGTTAATTGAGATTTTATATCTTTTTTTTTAATAAAAGTCAACTAAAGTAAGGTTTGTGCTTGTGGTGAGCAAATACCAGTTTTTAACTGTTTTTGACTGCTAGTGATGTTAGGAACATTATTCTGCAATAAATGACTATACTAGTTGGACTGGTATACATTAAAGTCCTAGATGTTAATTTTGTTTTTGAACTGCTAGTACTTAACACTTTTGTCCGGGGGCAACGAAGTCTGCGTCAATAAATAGACGGATGTCCGCTGGTGATGCATGTTGCGTCAAAATTTGTAATATTTGTTAAAATTATATTTTTTATCCGATCATTATGGGACTACTTTTAAAATGTGTGCCTTTAGATTGCGAACAATTTGATATCAAAATGAACGATGTAGCATGGCAAATGAGGTCAGAACACTGGAAAGATTATAAATATTTGTGTGGTGATGAGCATCCAAAATTAAAAATATTTGTTAAAATTCCATTTATTGTTTGATTATTATGGGACTAGTTTTAAAATGCACGCCTTTAGATTGCAAACAATTTGATATCAAGATGAATGACGTAGCTCGAAAATTGGGGTCAGAACACTGGAAAGAGTACAGTACATATGTTAGTGTGGGTGCACGCTACCAGGAAACGCCAGGCCCACCTTGGGGTGGGTTGGGGCACACGCACCAGGTGCGTGAGAGTGTTAATTACTTACACGGGCGATTTAAATTTTTATTTTTATTTTATGTTTGTTTAATCTTCTTTCTTCACAATAACAGGTTAATTGTGGCCCTGTTACGATGGCGGGATGAGAATCCCTCACTGGTTTTGGAATGTGAAGTAGATGCACTCCGGCAGGACTCTCGCGGCTGTACGCCACTGAGCTGGGCTTGCTCCCGTGGACACCGGCACACTGCTCTTCTCTTGTACCGCTGGAATTCACAAGCGCTTCATTCTAAAAACCAGCTTGGACAAACGCCCCTGCAGTGTGCTACCATAAACGGTATTATAAGAGATGCTATTTAACAAAAATCTTTTTAGGGTTGTTTTACTAGTTTATTGTATTTTGAATAAAAGTCTCTCTTATTTTCCTCTGGATATTTTATGTTAAAATCTACTGTTCTTCACCTTTTAATTTTCTCCAACTGCTCAGACAACATTTTGTTTAGTTTGGAATTTGAATGTGCATCCTTAGCTTTTTATAAATGCAATAATTTTATAAAAATTATTTGGGATCAGCATTATCACCCATTTTTCATCACACTTTTCCAGCTATCTGTACATTGCTGTATATTTTGCAGATCAGATTAGGTATGATGACAGTGGTGGTATATTGCAAAAGAAAACTTATAACTTCACCTTTGATGATCCACAGGTCATCATACACTAGCAGAAGAGTTGCAACAGCTGGACAGACAAAGAGCACACACAGGCAGTATCGAAGGCCTTCACCTCTCTCTGTCCTCGGCATCCTCCAGTACACAGCTCTCTACCTCCACCACAACAACCTCCTCCTCCTCAACCTCCCCCTCATCTGCTGTCAGTCCTGGACTCTCGTTACCTGGGACTGCTCATCAATCACCCGATGTGTTCCTCCGACCCTCACCACGCAGGTAACATTGATTAATTGTACCCATTAAATTTGTAGATTTTGAGTCTTTTAATTTTTGTTATATTATGCACAAGTAAAATGCTGTTCAATTTATTTAGAACAATACTGATTAAATACAATGGGAAAAAGGCTATGTATTGGGTGCAAAGTATATGACAAAAAGCATGGGAGAAGGCATGGTGCCGGGTGATTAGAAAAGATCTGTAATGTGCTATTAGATGAAAATGAAACTTCAGGTTTGTGAAAATTACTTTTCTGAGTAGACTATTCTACTGCTCACTGCAGTATATTTATTTATTCATTTATTTATTTATAAATTTTTACATGTACAAGAAGGTACAATTGGTTGTGCAAGAACATATTTTGTTGATTAAGTAATACTGTACAGTGTTGCAAAGCCACTAACATGCTTAGCATTTCAAGCAAATCTTAAGGCTAAGATGATTTGTAGCGAATTTTATGTTACAAGGTTAAATCACTCTATTTCTAGATAGAAAAGTGCTAGATGAGTTAGTATGTGGGGTGAGGAAATCAGGTATTTTATTATTTTACTTTTTAATGGGGTCTAGGTTGAGCAGTTTTTAACTTCATTAGGAAGGGAGCTCCATATTTAATTGAATTTACCCGAAGGCCACCATCTCTCTAGTGGCCTCAACAAGTACAGGAAGCTGGTAGCTTGCCAAAAATTTCCTCCCCCCTGAGTTGTCCTGGTGATTTTATCCAGCTGGATTTTGAATTGCAGCAATGTTTTTGCATTTTAAGCTTCAGCAGATAGGTAGTTCCATGGGTTTATAACTGTATGGATGAAAAAGCATCTCCTAATTTCTATCCTACGTTGTGGTTTTCTTAGCTTGAAGCCATTGCTCCGTGTATTGGTTCCATTTGACCTTTTAAAGAAGTGGTCTGGATCAATATCCTCCAAATTGTTTAGGATTTTAAAAGCTTTGATGAGATCAGCCTGATCATGTCTGGTTTTCAGTGTTGTTAGTACTGATACTCTCAACTATTCCTGGTATAAGAGTTGACGTAGTTCTGGAATTATTTTTGTCACCCGGTGTTGCATTTTTTCCAAAGCTGATATCTTCTTCTGAAGATGAGTTCTGCTTGCTTGGATATAGTAGTTTAAAAAAAAAGAGGGCACATCAGAGATTTGTACAGTTCAGTAACTACCTTTTTTTTCCTTGAAGTCGAAGGTTTGTTTGACCAGTCCTTTTTTTTTTTTTATACTGCAGTTACACTTGTTATACTACTTTTATTGATTGGTGAATTCTGACTTTAAGGTCATTTTCATCATCAATCTGCTGCAAGATAATGCTGTTGATTTAGCAGTTGTATGTGCATTATGTCTATATAAGAGTATATGACTTCTGACTCTAGCAAGCTTAGGGCTCTTTCCACAGCTCATCTTAAGTCTTACTCTATTAGTTTAACAAGAAACACAAACTGCAGGTTGGTTTATAACCAGGTCACCAATAACTGCCGAGTGAACAATGGTGAAGAGTTAAAACAGTGACTTCCCATTATCGCTCATTGCCCAGGGCCCACATCACTTGTGAGGAGTACAGTTATCTAAGTAATTACCTAAGTGTAGTTACAGGATGAGAGCTATGCTCGTGGTGTCCCGTCTTCCCAGCCCTCTTTGTCATATAATGCTTTGAAACTACTGACGGTTTTGGCCATCATCACTTTCTCACTTACCTGTACTTGTTTCAGCCGTCTACCACTCTGCAAAAAACAACTTACTAATATTTTTTTGGCACCTTTGTTTCCTTAGCTTGAATTTATGTCTTCTTGTTCTTGAAGTTGCTGATTTTAGGAGTTCCTCTTTGTCAATTTAGTCTATTCCTGTTATTGTTTTGTAAGTGGTGATCATATCAGCTCTTTTTCTTCTATCTTCTTGTTTTGGCATATTTAATGCCTCTAGCTTCTCCTCGTAACTCTTGTTTTGGCTTCTCCAGAAACCATTATAAATAAATAAATAATAAATAAATAAATAAATAATTTATAGTATTTCCTACCTTACTAGTAATACCAGTTCTTGCACCAGTCGTGTTCATCTCACAATTCTTTCACTGTTCGATGAGTTTGGGTTCCTGGTAAACTGGCGGAAGTCCCAGTTGGTTTCATCCCAGGTTTGAACCTGGCTGGGTCTTACTCGAGATTCTCAGTCGGCATCGCTTTTCCTGCCTCCTGACGCCTTGTTTCTGCTGCAGACCCACTGTCTGCTGGTGTTGAGGGGGACTCGGGTGCCTCGGTGGTTGCTCAAGTAGTTGTGTGGAAGCCTGTACATTGCCCTTCTGGTTTACCCATTGGCAGGGGTTTAGCTTCGGAGGCTGTTCTGGTTTCTATTGTCGAAGTGGGAGTGCATTAACCTCTTTCCTCCCTGTCCAGTTGTTGCTCCGGGTGCTGGCACAACTGGAGTCTTACAAGGGAAGAGAGATTCTTCTGGCTCCTTGGTAACCAACCGAGCCTTGGTTTCAGGGGCTGCTTGCTTAGTGTCTGAACCGAGGCATTTTTCCGTGGCTCCACCTCTTTTAGGAAGTTGGGTGGGTAACGTACATCGCTGGTTCGGTCTTCTCTTCTGCATTTCGCATCTGGGGTTATCCATTACACTACGGTAACTTGAGACATGGATGTATAGTGATTGGTGGGTTTTTTCTGGGAAAACTTAGCACTAAATAACCTGATTGGTTCCAATACCTGTTCCAAGACCTAAATCTCTACTTGCAAATGTATATTAAATTATAAAATCACAGACTTTTGGCACTTCCTCCTTTCATAGATTTGTCTTTATCCCATCTATCTTTATAATATCACACATTTTTCCAATTGTCCGTCTCTACTTTTGTAATTTACTTTTCGTGTTCAAACACCAACACTATTTTACACATACTATTGTGTTGGATCAATCACTCTACAAATAGTCGTCTAATTACATATCTCTTATCAAATTCTCTTTTACCAACTCTTTTATTTAATAACACCAGTTATTTTGTTTTCCAAATTTATTCTTTTAATAGTTGCATATGGTTTTACTCAGTCTAACATTACTATATTACAGCTTTTCTTCATTCACTTGCACAGTACTCAGTTGTTTTTAGCAGACTTTCCTTGCACACACACATCAACAAAACTTGTATATACTACATATATATATTTTTTTCTCTACATGAAAAATTATCAGATGTGTATGCAGAAAGTTTTATATGCTCTATTTTATTTTGCACCTTTTCTTCATTCACATACTCATGTATGGCAACATTAAACACCCTTGACAAGTCATACATTGATATTAAATGGCATTCAATGCTCTCATATAATAAAATTTCTTGAATTCGACACAACGATTACCCCTATAGTCTCTTTATAAACAAAATTATTTAATATAATTGTCAATAATGAATGGCATTAAGATCAATAATAAGAGCAACAAAATTCATCCGTTATAGGTGTGACTTCAGAAAACAACGGCACCTAAGCGTAGATCTACCCCTTAGCAGTGAGCAGGACCCAGGACGACCAGTGGGCTGTCCATCCCCAGCGTCATCTTGGAGTGATACTTCAGTTCGACGAGGAAGGCTCATCAAGAGACCTTCTGTCGACTCAGGAATAAATTTAGCCAATGTAGACACATACAAAAGAACAAGCTTAGATTCTGGCCTTGATGTATTACAAAAATATTCGAGGTAATTTTGTGTATAAATGAATGACTTGATTACATTTGAATTGACGTATATGAACACAGCACAGTAAGCCTTCTCGTGTAATATTTGTGAGGGTGTGTTCTTATTGGTTTGACAAAAAACATCCGATCGTAAATATGTTTCTAGACCTTATCATAAAATTTTACTTGGATCTAGAGACCATGGAGATAACTACACACATCTTAGATCTTCCTCAGTATTATATACATCACAATAAAATATTGCTTTATATAAACAAATTAATATAATACACTACAATCACTACATATAGAAAAAATGGTAAACAGAAAAACTTATTCTAAAACTTGTAGACTTAAATACTGTATCTGGAGGTCTTCACTAATTGTTATTGATCAATGCAGCTTCCTGGGGCTAGACTTTAGTCCCATTATAAAATTTCACTGCCTAGCTGCACCACGATTTATACACAAACCGAAGAAAATCCAGTACTCTGTTTCAGATAATACTATAGAAAATTTGGAAATAAAGCTGATTAAAAGCAAAATTTTCTGGAGGGAGCCCTACAGTGGTTCCCTGGAGCTGTCTTGTGGAGTTTGTTCCATACTTAAAGGTCGCAGCAGTCAAGGAAGTTCTGCTTGGCCTGTTGGGTACCTGAACCAGAACCTTGTTTCCCTTCACAGAAGTGCAGGAAGAAAGTCACAATCTGCCACCCAACCAGAAAAAAGTATCTTAGAATGTCAGTGAACTGGAGGGCTGACAGAGAACATTACCTCAAAACTGACAAACAACTCCATAAACGAGTCAAACACAACAAGGGGATTCACTCAAACCTGGTCCCGGCCCTCAGCCAGCATCCGAGTTCAGTTCTGTTGCTGATGAAGCAGTGTGTACAGCTGTCTGTAGTGCTTCTGGTCCCTCAGATCAGGGGAAAGCATTTCCTCTGCATCAAGCTAAGTGCCAACCATCCTTGGACTTCGTTGTCCTGTGGGGGGGGGGGCTATTTTCATGTATTTTTGTTGTATTTTAGTATTCTCTTCACAGGTGTGTTTTCATTCTGGCTCCCTCCTTCCCTCTCAGCCTGCCTGCCTGCCTCCCTCCCTCCCTCACCAGTTTGCTGAGAATTTTTTATAATTTTACAAGTGAAGTTATTTAAATAATTGTGATGGGCTGCAAGAATTATGAGAAGAATTATGTACAACGAGTACAATGAGTGTTAGGCCGGGTGTTTCACTTGTTTATCTCTCGGAGGTAAAGGTTCATACTCTATATTTGGCGGACAAGTCAACCCCTTGTTTTGGAGAAATATTTCAAGCTTCAAATGTTGACTTATATACCATATATGCCGAAGTAAAATTTTTTTAACGGATGGATATAGAAGCAGACAGCTACTGACACTTGTTAGCAGGCTTAGTGCTTCCTCTTCCATATAGCTTATCTTCTGCCTCAACTTACTAGGTTTACCTAGAATATGACCCACCAATCAGTTTACAATCAGTTCCCTATTTACTGCTAACTCATCGAGAGTGAACAGCTAGGAATCAGTGCTCAGTTGACTCTCCCTGCCAATGGCATGCTACCACATCTCTGCACAGACTGGCCTATTTGTCATTGTTAGAATTCTGGGATATAGGGACCCAGAAATACCTCTCTTGATGGCTATGGTTAGAACATCTGTAGATAAATTTATATTTTTTGCTTTAATAGTCATAAAAACACTATAACAAGATGTGACAATTTTATTGCAAGTTTTAACAAGGTAATCATAGGGACTGTTGTGTGTTTGCAGGGTGGGTACCTATTTTACTGCTAGGTAAACAGAGTTATTGGGTGAGAGGAATCATGCCCAACTGCTTCTGTCCTGCTTGGTGATTTCCGGGTCTGTTGGTTGAGAGTCAAGGGCATAGACCACTGTACTGCACGACCCATAATAAATTGATGATGCCTCTATACTGGAATACATTGGTCAACATGCGGCTGCACAAAGGATTTGTAAAGCCTAATAACAGAGTGTATTGCTATACAGTACAGTTTTCAATAAGTACATTTGATGATTCCTCGTTTTATTTATATATCTTTATTGCTGCTCTCACTTGTGCTACTTTTCAAGATTGATGAACTGTTGCATCATGGTTACTCTCTCTTTCAGAGCTAGCACAGTAGAATTTTCAATGTAATGTGATGTGTATTCCACATGCAAAGTCCTTCAGTTTGCTGCATTAAATAACATTTACTAATATTTTGAACATTCATGAAGTTTTGAAAATTGATGTGCATGAAAAAATTATCCTCACACCTTTCTGAAAATTTAAATTGGTAACATCTGGACATTTGGCAGTGTGGTTTAAGTTGCTAAAGTTATGTTAATGTAGATTATAAAAAAAAGGTTTAGCTCTAAAATAATCTCTGTGGCATTTGAATATTGTTCCAATATGGTCTTCCTCCAGTTAAGACACCTCTTAAATTTCAAGTCTTCATCTATTATTTTGTCCATTACAATCTTTTGCCAATGAGTCTAGGTGTGCTTTAATTTCTAGCACTATAATCTTTAATGAGCCACATTTTCAAATGGTCTGGAGAAGTCCATATACAGTCGAAGGACATTTTCTGCTGTACCTCTGTCATTAGTCTTAATACTATTATGACTTTTTCAAATTTTTCATCTGAACATACAGTATATTTTATTTTCTAGTACAGGTATATTTAATCAAGGTTAATTTGGATATAAATTTCTTTTAAGACATAAAATATATTCCAAGTAGGCAGTCAAATTTAACTAAACCTGTGGTTGCCACTCTGCTAACTGCATTTAATGTTAATTGTGATAATAATTCTCGCAGGTGTTTCTGTACATTAACCTCAGGGGTGGGTTAGCTGAATAATGGTTTTATAATTTCCAGTCAGTTGTAAGTATGCACGACTATGAAACTTAATTGTTTTCAGTGGATAACAACGTAAATAATTGAATAAGGCATAAGTCGGCCAAAAACAATTATCAAAGAATAATTCCCTCAGAAGGATAAAACTTGGCTACAGCCAAGCTGAGGATACAGTGTTCTCTTCAAAGTGGATACCAACAGGCTTAACAATTACAAATAAATTTAACATTGTATGTATGTAGGGTTTTGGAAATGTATAGCATTTTAAATATGATCCAAGATCAGATCAGAATAAAAAAAAACTATGGGATGGAAATATGATGTATATTTATTATTAAACTGGAAAGACTAATGACTATTGCAGGGGTGATGGTGCCAGTCCACAGATGTCGACACCTTCCTTAGTGCTAGACAATCCTGGGGAAGACATTTTAGACTCTCCTATGCCCTTCCAGTTTACTCCAGGTTAGCTATTAGTTTATTTTTTATTTAATATACTGTAGTTACAAATACTTGGAAATCTTCCCATTAAAACTTTGTGAGGTTAATCTATGCAAAAATAATGAAGCCTTTATTTTAGGGCATTTATAAAAGCCTTTAAGAGTAGAGATTGTCATGATATTTGCTTGACTTATTCTCCTTGTGGCTTTTTCAATAGAACATACATATGTCTGCCAACAAAGTTCCTTGTATTTTCTTAGGCATGATATTTTTCATATATTTCAAGCTGAAAGTTTTATGTTACTGCATGTCTTATACCTCTTATTAATGTAAGATTATTTGTGTGTTTTGTTCAGGCTATTTTTCGGTACAATTTATGAAGCACACGTTTTAATATTAGAACTTTTTAACACTGAACATTGAGATTAGACAAAATTTAAATATCTCTGTGTTAAGTCACTTCTTGCAGGGCCAGATTTAGGCATAAGCCAAACAAGCTACAACTTAAGGCCTCACATCTGAAGGGACCTCTCAAAATCTCAGAATTTGCTTTCATTTGTTAGAATTATAGAATTATTTCAGTTTGTAAATTACATTTCATTTTCCAGCATTTATAAGTTTGCAAGAGTATTTTACTCACATGAATTAAATACTTTCAGTCACTTAACTCACTGGCAATGAATTTCCAGTATTATTTTCCTATTAATAAATGTCTTGAAACAGAATAATTAAAAGTATATTTTTAAAATTGTAAAAGAGTAACCCTACCCCCCCCCCCCCCTCCCGCACGGATTTGTTACGCATCTTTGCAGCATTCTTGCCAAGTTCATTTGTTACACAAATGAACTCTGTTAACACTTGCCAAATATGGCACTTATTCTCTGTTAACACTTGCCAAATATGGCCTCTACAGCTTCTCATAGCTTAGGGTCTCACCATGCCTAAATCCAGCCCTGCTTCCTTGGTATAAAAAGGTAAGCTTTCTCAATATTTCAATTGACAGTGTATCTTTGTTGTATTGGAGTATGAGAGGATACCAGTAAGTAATGAGGGTAGATTGCCCTAGTAATGCAAGTGGCATGGTTGTCGCAGGTGGAAGCTGCCAGCTCCAGGCAGAGAGAGACGACGATGATCACTCATCCCTCAAAGGTAAGCCATGCACTTGCTAAATTATTCATGCTAATTCATACTTTATATTTTTCACTTTTTCTTACTGGAGTTAAGCAAGTTCTGTTAAATGATATTCAAATTTTTATGTAGAAAGCAATGCACGTGTAAGATTTAATGATGTAATGAGTGACAATTATTTTGTGAATAATAAGTCCTAATTTGTACTTTTGATATACTGTAGTTATCTTAAGCTACAGACTCCTATTGTATAGTAGTCTATGCCTTTTATCATTAAGTATCACTTTAACCCTTAAACTGCAGAACACATCAAGAGCTGTAGTGAGTGACTATCATAAAATTGCTCACCACAGCTATTGATGTGTTGGAGTATCGCACAAGATTTAAAAGTCCCACGGCTACACGGAGTTCACATCAGATTCCTCAGAGCTCTTGTAAACAGGCACCATTTAAAAAATAAAAAGGTTTAGGGGGTCTTGTACAAATATTTTTACACTGAGACATAATGGATGTGTTCAAAATACATAGAATAGAATAGGATAGAAAACATTAGATACTTTTTCACCCGTAGGGTTATGAACCCATGGAACTATCTACCTGCCAGATATTTGGCCATAATTGCCAAAACTCTGCTGCAGTTCAAAATCCAGTTGGATTAAATCAAGAAAATGGAGGAACCCTTGATAGGCCCCTAGCTTTCCGTCCTTGTCAAGGCCACTAGATGGTGACCCTCAGGTAAATTCAGATAAAAGGAAAATATTTGCTATAACACTTTATCTTAGCTTCTGAGTGTTGCTCATTGATATTGATGTTTGATAATTTTTACTGTAGCTCCCAATTTTAAAAGCAAGTGGCAATTTACACTATATTTTTGCTTTGACAGGCAGGTGGTTCCATGGTTTTATTATCTTATGGATGAAAAAGTATCAGTGAAACAGGGCTAGCTTACTGTCTCTTGGATAACTTGGGAGACTAACCGGTGGCATTCGTAGTCAGCCGAATTGGAATTATGTACAGTACTGTAATTTGCAGAGTTATTTTGTGATTTGCATTTTCTCCCAAAAAAATTCTAGGCGAGTTGAGTTTTTGAGATGTTTAATTTTTCAATATTATGCTGCATAAATAATCATCATCATATCTCTCTTAATTTTCTATTACTCCGACTCTTACAGTCATGTATTGTTTTCTTACATAATTAATCTATGGAACAATATTCTTTTTCTAAATGTTAACAAGATTTTCAATAAATGTTGCTATTTTTAATCTGTAGCTAAATATGCTTTTGAACTACAGGAGTGGACAGCAGTTACGCTAGCCGGCGTGAATCACTTAGCTCAGAGATGGCAGGTTTGGCCACACCAGATGATAGCCGGGTCCTAACCTTAGCTGAACAAATCATTGCTGCTCTTCCTGAGAGAATAAAGGTATTATTGTTACATTAGTTTTATCTCGTATACAGTATATGCTATATGTAGCTGAGACCTAACATAAATGTGCTTGCAGGGTTGATTGTCGACTTGTATACCCCACTTTGTAAATATTGACGGTTTAATTCCAAGGTTTTATTCACTTATTTTTATGATCATATATATATTCATGTTTGAAGCTGTGTATTGCATATGTTTCAGCATACTCACCAAATCTAATCTAACCTATAATAATTGACTCTTATGCCAAAAAAGTTCTTTGTGATATCCCTCCAACTTATTTGTTCTATGGTGTCCATTTATGCCGCATAGTTCTGCTAGCCTTTACTTTGAGCATTAACTCAAGACTGAGATTTATTGCTTCTTGTGTGACTTCAGGTGGAGGATCCATGTTGGGGCATCGTACTCAAATGTGCATCTCAGATAGGTTGTGTACAGTGTTCAGAAGGCTCCATTGTCCAAGTTTTAGAAGGCTGTTCAGATGCTGGCCAGTTTGGCACACACTGCCAACCTTACTCTGCTGGTGTATACCTTGGTGTTAGATTTGGGGTTATATGCATGCACAAATCTTTCCTTTTCCAATTTGGAAAGCTGTCTCCCCTTCTTTCTGTAATATATTCGAGGTCTTTTTGCTAGTGTTCCTGTGTGTATTGTATGCAATTATCAAAACTATTACCAAAGTGTTGCTGAACTTTCAAACTATTCCTGAATGTTAAGTATTATTATTATAATTATATAATATATATATATATATACTGTACAGTATATATATCTTATTAATGTTCAATTGTAATAGTTCTTTATACGAGTTACAAAAGAGGTGTTTGAAACAGTATGAACTCCAGTGAGTGAATAAATTACTTCTTACTTGTGGTAATCAAAGAAAATGTCTGAAATGAATTAAGGTCCCCATGTTAGTGTATGTTGAGGGTAACACCTAAAGAGGTTACAATGTTATTTATCAGAGTGACGGAGAAGAGCTTATGCAACTGGAGTCCAGCCCTGTGGCTCCTGACCCACCATCCTCTGATTTGGATATGGAAGTGATATTGGATGAACCACCCGATACAACACCAGAGTTCAACTTTGAATTCTCTGATATTACTTCCTACAGGTAAGAAACAAAAATGTGACAAGGTATAAAATTATTGTTCTTCCATATGTCCAGTTTTAATAATATTTTAATTGTAGTTACTAATGTGTAATATGCATGAATTGATGGCATAAAAAATTATAAAATAAGGAAGGCAGATGATCAAGATAGATGATGAGGACAAAAGTCCCTCACCCGGTGAGGCAGAACTAACCCCTATAGATATATATATAGCTATAAACAAATTGCAAAATAAAAATTGCAAAATATCTCATGGAGAGAGTAAGTAGGAGATCATCATGAGAAAATTTCACAAAGGTCATCACTGAATTTAATACAAAATATATGCCAAGAAGAAAAGGGAAACAAGAGAGAACTAGATGGATGACAAAGGCAGTAAAAAACTCTATCAACTAAACACAGCCTCTGGAGAAGGTATCAAGCCACCAGAAATCATATACTGTATACATTTGTGATATATATAAAAGGGTATTAAATACAGCTACCCAGGAAATTAGATCAGCCAAAAGAAACTATAAAAGAAAACTTGCTCAAAACATTAAGAAAGATTTAAAGTGTTTGTATGCCTATATAAGAAGTAAAACCATGACTAAAGATTAAGTAGGACCCTTAAAAGTTGGGATCACCAAGTTATAATTGATGATAAAAAAAAAGTGCCAACTTTCTGAATGAATACTATACATCAGTGTTCACATGAGAATGATTAGACAACATTCCAGTACCCACACAAATGTTTGAAGCAGATGAAGAAAATAATTTAAAGGATATTCCTATAATGTGTGAAACAATCTTGAATCTAGTATGTGACTAGATTGTTTCACATATTATTAGCTTCAGGCTCAACAAACCTAAATGTAGAAAAAAAATCTAATGCTTTTTCATCCATAGGATTATAAACCCCCTGGAACTACCTACCTTGCAAAACTGTAAATGCTAAAATATTGCTTTAGTTGAAAATCCACTTTGAGAATACCCTCAAGAACAATGAAAGAATCTTCAAAAAGTTGCTGGCATCCTGTTTCCATTGATTCCTCTAGAATGATGGTGGCCTTCAAGTAAATGTGGGTAAATAAAATGTATTGCATCACAAGTTACAAATATGCTAAATATATAAATGTACTTCATGTAGCATATATACAGTATAGTACAGCATATAGTGTTTTTCTATAGGCAAACGTGATATTATTCTCTGTTGTGAGTGGCACAACAGAGATTGTACCTGCAACCCAACATTCTCTGTTGTGTGCCCTGGACTCCCGGCGTGATGCACATGCCCTAGGCTCCAGGTCAAATCTGATATGCCTAGGCAGGCGTATTCATTTATCAAAGATAACAACTTTGCCTATCCTGATACCAGTGAATGTTACTGTATTTAAAATACTGTATATTATAAATATGAGGTAACTCTAATCATTGATGTAACCTTAAATTTGTTTTTATCAGGTACATTGATGTTGGAACCCCCAGTTCATCAATGAGTCCTGCATCCTCAAGCTGCCTGCCATCACCTGCTTCTTTCACACTGGAGAGTCCCTCACCCCCACCCACCACAGCTGACTTCTCAGAGTTTTTCCATGCTTCCACTCGAGATTTTTCTAGAGATTTTTCTAATCTCACTCTTTCAGGTTAGACAACCATTCATATACCAGTATACTATATATACTATTCATTTACATGAATAGATATTGAGGCTGTCATAATCAAATCTGGGTCCCCTGATCACCTTAAGGCATGGGTTCAATTGAAGCACTCGACCTCAATACTTATTCATAGATTCATTATGCTGTGATATTCATTTTTTATTTTTTACACACACAATATTATTTTCATCAATATTATTTTCATTATTACATTAAAATAATGAAATTTCATTATTTCATTAACAATATTATTTTCATTATTTTCATATTTCAATTGTGTGTGTGTAATTACCTAAGTATAGTTACAGGATGAAAGCTATGCTCGTGGTGTCCCTTCTTCCCAGTACTCATCATATAACACTTTGAAATTACCGATAGTTTTGGCCTCCACCACCACCTCACTTAGCTTGTTCAAACCGTCTACCATTCTGTTTGCAAAGGAAAATTTTCGAATGTTTTTTTGGCACCTTTGTTTCCTTAGCTTGCATCTGTGTCCTCTTGTTTATGACATTGCTGGTTTCAGGAATTCTTCCTTGTCAATTTGGTCAATTCCTGTAAGAATTTTATATAGTGTTAATATCACCTCTCTTTCTTCTAGTTTTGGCACGTTTAATGTCTATAGTCTCTCCTTATAACTCTCTTTCAGTTCCGGAAGCCATTTTGTAGCATGCCCTTGAAATTTTTCAAGTTTATTGATGTGCTGCTTGAGATATGGGCATCATACAACTGCTGCATATTCCACTTTTGGTCTATGTTCTCCTATTCCACATTCCATAACATGGCATTATTCACATTAAATTTCATTTGCAAAGTGGTGCTCCATACACTTATTTTGTCCAGGTCTTCTTGAAGGTCATGATGATTGTCTAAGTTTCCTATCTTCCCTAGTAGCATTGCATCATCAGCACACATATTCAAATATCTATCTTCTGGTAGGTCATTTATGTACACAATGAACATTATCAGTGCATGAACTGAACTGTGTGGTGCTCCACTCACGATATTTTTCCAGTCCGGTACATTCCCTGATTACTGCCCTCATTTTTCTGTAGGTTAGAAAATTTTTCATCCACGACAGAAGTCTCCCTGTCACTCATCCAGTATGTTCTAGTTTTCTGAACATCTTATGTGGGACTCTGTTGAAAAAGTCTTTTTTAAGGTCCAAATAATGTTTTCAACCCATCCATTTCTCTTCTGTAAAATCTCTGTGCCTCAATCATAGAAACTTAAGTAAATTTGTTACATAGGATCTTCCATATTGAAAACCATACTGTCTGATTGTTGTTATATCATTTTTCTCCAGGTGATCTACCCATTTGGTTTTAATTATTTTTTTCCAGTATTTTGACTACTACACTTGTCAATGATACAAGTTTATAATTAAAGAGGGGTCTTCCCTGCTGCCATTTTTGTAGATTGGATCTACGTTAGCCTTTGTACATTTCATTAACATGCCAATTTATTTCAGACCGTGAGCAACGAGAATTATACGAGGCGGCCAAAACAATCCAAAAGGCATACAGGCTTTACAAAGGGCGCAAGAGATTACAAGAGCAAGATAAGGAGAGGCAGGCTGCTATTGTCATTCAGAATTATTATAGGCGCTACAAACAAGTAAATTAATTCATGGCATTTTTTCTGTGCATTATGAAGAATATTACAGTCTGTTGTTGATTAAATATGTCCACTATGTTACCCTGATTGTTAGATAGCTTTTTCATGTTGAATAACTTACTGGTTTTGCTTTGTTTTTGTTTTTTTTATCTGTCTGCCACCATCTCTAGTGACCTTGTCAAGGATGATTCATGCAGCTCGCTGTAAACTATAAAATACCTTGGTGGATTAATTTTAAAATACAGAATTTATTGAAGATAAATATTCACATAAAATACAGTACATAGGGTGTTTGCAAATCTGGTACACTCATGTCAAGTTATATGTTGGAGGATATTGCTGAGCAGTTTTAATAAGTTTCTTGTTATAAAAATTTTTCCTCAGTCCTCAAAAATGTACATATCTGGGCTAAATCTTCTGCTGCAGCATTGTTTTTAAATACTCCACTCACCACAGTAATGCTGATAATATTAAGAGAAAATAGCAAGGTGAACAGAGCCATCAGGTGAAAGAAAACCTGCCCAACTGTCTTGCCCAGGGATTGAACCCAGGTCCCTTGGTTTGTGAGCCAATATGACAAAAAACCAGCGTTGAAGGTAATGAAACGCCATTTTCTGGGTGAGACCCGGAGGCTCCCTAAAGCTATCACTGAATAAGTGCCATACTACTAATAGTCATCAGTTGCAGAGTTCTATTGATCTACCTGGCCACCACAAGTCGGAACCTGGACCCCCTCTAGAGAGGTGAAGGGAGCGATGTCCTATGAACACTTTAAATGTAAAATTTGTCATCTTAGCCATCACTAGAGACGCACCCAGAAAGAATGTCAAATCAAAACAAACTGCAGCATGATTTAAAAATGAGGCCGAAGCATCAACATTGCTGAAAGAACTCCCCAAAAATTAAAACAAACAACCAAACTTTAGCAGAATTAGCCACCCGCTAGTTTTAATTATATATTTTTTAATATAGTATACAGTACTCTGTAAACAGTGCTCTTAATGAAGACTATATATAAATGTTTGTTGGTATTTTCAAGAAAAATTTTACATATCACTAGTTTAAACATCAGTAAAGAGATTGCTTTCGTTGTTAATATTTTAAATCAAACATGGGTTTTTAAGGTTTAATTTCCACATTTCAGTATGTATACTTCAGGCAAATGAGTCGAGCTGCAACATTAATTCAAAATCAGTTTAGATCTTACTGTGAACACAAACGCTTCAAAAAGAGCTTAGAAGGAGGAGCTCATTCAAATGTTAACTTCTCACTGAGGGGATCACGTGAAACTACCCCTATTCCAACGTTAAAGTAAGTCCTCTTTTATATTTTGCCCATGAATATTGTTGATAATTTTTACCCGTCAAATATCTGTTAATATACAAATATTATTATGCTAAATTTTTGTTTAAATAATAATACTATTATTATTTAAAAATTGCCCTTTTTATCATATACATTTAGTTGACGATACTATTATTTACAGGCGCACATACTCCCAACGGAGGCAGCATCAAGCTGCTCGCAAGATTCAACAATTCATGCGTCAGACCAAGCAAAAGTAAGCCATAGAGTCAGATGATCACTGACAAAATTCAAGTGCAAGTGTGTTGTTGTAACCTGCTTTGCTAATTTTAGAATTTACACTGCTGGTGCTTATGTTCATTCCATAGGTGTTTTTAATGTGAGGTTTAGGTGTTGTATAATTTGCTGATGTTAAATACAGTACTTGTTAACATGACTTGCGGAAGAATCGGTTCTTCAGACTTCTGCAGACAACAAGGTGCCAAGTGCAGTATCTTTAAAAATATTGGCAGGTATCTGTGATCTAGCATAATTTAGATGGTAGATTTTTTCAACCAAATCCTGCACAGATAAAATATAATTTGACACCTGTAAATTAATTTTTTTTAGTGTTATGGGAGTGTGATGGTTGTAAAGTCAAATTCGTAAATTGAGTGAAGCAATGATAGAAAGCCAGACACTAAGATTGCCACCATTAATTAAAGAAATGGTGTTGAGTGTGCAAGGCATCATCACTAAGGTGGTAATAATTCACACACATGGATGGTTGTGAAATTTGAAGTTCCATAAAGTATAAATAAGAAATAATGAGAAGATTATAGATACATGTAGTATAGTGGTAGTTCAAAGAATAAAGAGACAAAAAATATTATGTAGTGTGATGTGGTTGTTGAACATGGAAAACAAATTGAATAGAGCACATTATCATGGCCAATTTCTACAGGATGTAGGATCAGATGAGAATATAACCATTTATGCAAGATTCAAAATACTGTACAGGGTTGGCCACAGACAAAATGGCCAAACATGGTGAACAGAATATGGAAAGAAAACAGTGGCATAGTTAATGTATCTTGAAAAGTTTTATCAGCAAGGACATTGTTGATAATGTACAAAAAATTCTTCTGGGAAATGCCTCAAGTAACACCTGCTGATTAATGAGAAAATGCTCTTGCAATTCTGAAGAATTTTCTTTACTTCACATGTTACTAAATAGGCATGAGGGCCTTAAATGCTATTAATCCATGAAATTTTGGAAGTCCCAGATATTGAATAGATTTAGCATAAATTGAAACATCTCATTTAAGAACCATTACCCAAGACTTACATCAGCATTCATTTTCTTTCACTTTTCTATAATTAGTTTATGGTCATTACTATACTTTAAATAATTTCAAAGTTTAACCCTTCAACGTTTTTTTATATCTACGGTTGTCATTTGCTCAAAATGGCAATTTAAAGCAAAATGCTAATGACTAATGTAGTCGTTATTTTCAGTTTCATGTTGGCAAATTTTAACTTTTTGTTTTTTGTTTTTTGCTTTTATTGCATTTTTGAAAATACCATCGTAAAGTATAATTCTTTAGCTTAAAAAGATACCAATTGAACAGTTTACCATGCATAGTTACTTTGCAGTATGTGTTGGAAGTAAAAGCAATTTGTGTTTGGCCCAAGACAATGGTAATGCCCGAAATGGTAAGGGACAAAAACGTAAAGGGTTAAAATAATATTTGAGCAATAATTATTAAATCTTAATGTTGACCTATTTTAGTAAAATTAAAAAAAATAACTAATAACATAGGTTAAACATAGATAAATTTAATTTGAATTTGAAATTTGTAGACTAGAAAAAATATTATAGTTATTTGTATAAGCTAGATATTCATGAAGAAGAAGCATCTTTCAGTTAAATTTATAAGAATTTACTAAAACCTCCGTTTAAAATTATGATTAAATAATATACTGTAAGTAGAAATACAGTGGAACCTCGACTTACGAATGCCCTCACTTATGAATTTTCTGAGTCACGATTGGCTTGCGACCTTGTTGATACATGCATGGGTCAATGGAGGGAGTGGTTCCTGGTGGCACAGGCAACCCCATTTCAGTTTGCCAGACTGCCCGCTTAGTGACGATTGCGCTTGAATTCCTTTTAAAGACTTTCATTTTTTTTGTGCTCCTTTGTTTTTAATAAAAGTAATTATTATATATCACACCATGGGTCCCAAGAAAGTCAGTGTTAAGGTTCAACCTAAAAAACGCATGTGAGGGTGACCATAGAGGAAAAACGAGATCATTCGTAAACATGAAGATGGCGTGTGGGTTGTTGATCTAACTATGTAGTACAACAAATCTGTCAACGATATCCATCGTACTTGCTAAGAAAAAGGACATTATGAGTGCTAAAGTGGCAAAAGGTGTAACAATAATCACGAAACGTGGAACACAAACACTTGAGGATGTTGAAAAGTTATTATTAATTTGGATACACAACGAGGAGTTAGCGTGTGATAGTATTTCAGAGGCCATCAATTGTGAAAAAGCATGGCTATTGCATGGAGATCTTGTAGAGAAACCCTGGAACGAGTAATGCAGATATGAAAGAGTTTAAAGCGAGCAGGGGGATGGTTTGAGACATTTAGAAAAAGAAGTGGCATTCACAGTGTTGTGAGAGTCGAGTGTTGTGAGTTGGTGGAGGAACACAGCAAAGAACTGACCACCGAAGAACTCCTAGCCCTTCACAAGGAGCAGCAACAAGAGACAGCCGAGGAAATTTCTTCAAGGGAGAAGGAGGCAGCACAATGTCCCTTCCTCAACAACTAAGAAGTGGTGTGCAGTCTGGGAAGAAATGCAAAGTTCTGTTGAAACGACAATCCAAATCAAGCTGCAGTAAGCCATTGCCTTAACCTTTTTAATGACACTGGTTATGCCTCAATACAGACTACATTTTCCTGGATTGCCAGAAAGCCTTTGTCACGGTTGAGAGGCGGGACCAAAGAGACAAAGCTCAACCCCTGTAAGCACAACTAGGTGAGTACTACAGACAAGTGTTCAGATGTAGGGAAAAACAAGTCTATGAAAAGGTTCTTAGTGAGAAACACAAGCAGTGAGCCACAACCAGGTCCTATTGGTATACAGGCAAAACGTAGGAAAGAGAGAGAGTACCCCAGAGAAGTCATCAGTGCCTGATGTTATAATGGAAGGGGACTTCCCTTCCAAACAGTAACACCCCCCTCCTCACCATCTCCCATATGCCAACAAGAGTCATCAATAAAGGCAAGATATAACTTGTACATACTATTGTACAAAATGTGTGTGTATTATGTATGAAATGTATTTTGAAGTTAATATTTTTGGGAGTGTGGAACGAATTAATTCAATTTACATTATTTTTTATGGGAAAATTCGTTCGAGGTACGAATTTTCGAATTATGACAGACATTTAATCTGCTCTGGGAACAGATTAAATTTGTAAATGGAGGTACCACTGTATTTTAAATTTCTTAAAAAAAAACATAAATGTGTGTAGAGGAAGGTGAACAAATCAAGCTTTAATCAGAATACAGTATTCTCATGACAAGACAAAAGGCTTGTACTTCAATTAGAATAATGGAGGTTGAGGTGGAAGAAAACATGTAATAAGCTCAGTCCACTAAGATTCAGTATTAGTCAAGGAAAATAAAAAATTCCAGTTTAGCAGCAGGATGCTGCTTCTGGAAACTTTCCTTATTAAGATCATTCAATAGCTCGGTCGATAGAGTTTCGGCCTCACACGTGTGTGGTCCACGGTTCGAGTCTCCTAGAGCTCAGGTGAATGGAATTTAATGCTTTAATTATACTATAGTACAAATGATATATATATTATAGTTTGTGACCTATTTTCTGAGGGTGGCCAAATTCTGCCACTCTGGACACATTGACAGTTTTATCTTCTTTCGTGAAGTGATTTTTGCTGAATAAATTTTATACATTTTATTTTATTATTCATAATTTTGGAGAGTAGAAAAGAAGTTTACCAGTAAGAGTAACCTGAATGGAACAGGTAGAGGCATTGAGGAGCCATCGTAATATTGACAAAAGCTTGAAATGGTGTTGGAAAGTGACTGACTCTAGGAGTAGAGAAACTGCTAATAGAGCACAGTGATCATTTCATAAGCTGCCTCTCATTATCATGGTGGTTTATAAATTTTTCTCTTGATATCAAATTATTTGATAGTAGAAATGATCTCCGGCAGTAAGAGTAGCTTGTCTAGACCAGGAAGAAGTGTAATATTAAAAAAAAAGTGTTATAATGCAAAAAAGCTTAGGGAGTTGATTTGAGATGATAAGGGAGTGAATATCAAGGCAGACATTGCTGGTGTTGCCATTTGGACACTTTCACATAATCAAATCTGGGAAGACAATTTTGGTGGAAAAGATTGAGACATAACTTATCAGTGGCTCTAACATTAATCACTCTGATGAAGCAGTACACGAGTACTGTTCAGAACGATACTGTTGTTACCTGCAAGACTGATGTGTCATTATTAAGGTAAGTAAACATTACAGGTATTTATAAATTTGTATCATAATATAAGCAAACAACTATCAATACTATATACAGTATTATTTGCGTGTTTAAATATGAGCGAAGATATGTTCTATCATTTTGCTATATAAAAATTAAAAAATATTTGATGATAAATAACCCCCCAATAATGACAAATACAATAATTAAAAAATCTGGATTATTCGCAAACTGGAACGGACCTGGAATGATACGATCTGGATTTTGGAGGTGCCACTATATATGAAAAGCTTCTTTTTGAACAATACACTTGGTTGGCTGCTGGGCTTTCCCTCTGTCCCTTCTTCCATGTACAATGGATTTCTTTTGGGAGTTGGGCTAGGATGGGAGGAGGCTCAAGTCAGGGTATCTTTGTTGTGGTGACGAGGATAACTGACCAGGTGGAACAACTGTTAGTTACCAAGAGCACTGCTTGGAGGTCTCTGTGATACTACGTAGTGCTTGGAAGAGCATCGAGATCATCCCAGGCTGGCCTGAGTATTCTCCATTGTCTTCCTTGCACCACTTTTATACTCCAGCAGATAAAGTTTTAAAAGATTCCTGGTGTACTGGTGCAAAATATAAACCCTATACTAACTAGAATACGATCCTGTCCATTGGACTAGTAGGTTTTTGTGGATACACATAACATTGTACACAAGACGGTTTGCCACTGGATTTTAAAATCTTCCTAACCATAACCAAGCTGACCTGACCTAACCTAACCCAATTGAGCAAAATACAGCCTGAGCTAAGACATCTTAAAAGTGATATGTGCAGTTTTGACAATCAGAAAACGAGCTTTGTCTAACTGTTTTATATACAGTTTTGCATCTTGTAGCTACCAAGTGTTCTGCTAGGAATGGAGCTTTTCATATATTGTATAATGAATGCTGAAATTAATGAAAATTGGTGTATATTTTTATATGTAAATCACAAGGAAAAATATATCGGTTAAATTTTTTTTTTAATTTCTTGTATATCAGCAAAAAATCTGGATCAGGATTATTCTGTTGCATCCTGTCTTCCATTAGACTGGGTTCCATCAAGTGGAAATCCACAACACAGTAAAGTACTTTATATAAATGCGTATTTGTTAGGGACAAAATTAACTTGGACATGCTCAACCCATCCTCACACTATATTTGTGCATAATGAGCACAAAGATATTTAAATCTGATTAAATGAGGGCCAATTAGCATTAGTAATTGTGTGCAATTCTTAACCAAAGTTAAGTATAAGGTATAAGGTTAAGTATAAGAACCCTATGAACTGTAGGGTTCTCAAGTAGATCTGCCTAGGGGATGATAGAGAGGAATAGGGTCTTTAAGACATTCCATGACCTGTGTGACCTAGTGATGCCAGTCCTGACCCATTTGATGTAGTCATAGCTCAGTGATAGCATGCTGGACTGGGACATCACCACACCCAAGTTCAAATCATGCAAGTACTCTAAGATTGTGAACTGCACACATTTTATATATGTGTACGTATATGTATGTATGTATATATATAATTTTTTTTACTCATTTTTCATCTTGGGGAAACTTGGCATTCAGCTTAATGCTTAAAGAATCTTCCTTAATGTACTGTATAAGGAGGAAATACCACTATTACATGTATGGATTCTGTATACTGTACAGTATTGTATTAATCAAATTATTTGAATGCTACAATGAGTTATTTTGCCATTATTTGCATAGTACAAGACTTCTGTTTTGCTTTCCTAAGTTCTATATACTGCTGGATCCACAGAGTTCAGCAGTGTGTTAGATATGGGTCCTGTTGCAGATAGTTATAACAAATATGAGGGGGATATTTTAAAAGAATTTTATATTGTAGTTTTGATTAGATTATACTCGAGCAAAATTAGGAAGCTTAGGCCAGAAAATGCATGACTTGTAGTACAGTAATTGCTGTTGTCCCGTGGTTGTTGTACTGGTGTAGTGCAACAATCGCTGTCCAATCTATATTTACTTGTTCTCGTCTCTTTCTCGTAGCAGCATATGGGAGTTACTAACGGATAAAACGGTGAGTTAGTCTGAATCAGGCTTAAAGTGACAGGAAGTATTGTTTCAAGTTTTCTGTGTTTGCTGTTTTGATGTTGTGTTGTGTTGTGTTCTTTAGACACCACTCCTAGTCAATTATTTAAACTGGTTTTACCCTGTACTTTGTTTTACCAATATAATTTTTAGCCCCGATTTACTTTGTGACGATAGTAGTACCGTATTAGTTGTAGTTTAGTAAAATAAAATGGTTTAAAGGACCAATTACATGATTGTTTTAAACTGGTAAATTATCGGTAATAATGCATCGTCTCTGGCAATAATTTCCAAAATAAAAACACACAGTACAATGATATCAATAATACGCAATAAAAACCTCAATACTGTAGGAGTGGTGGTCCGAGTTGTGGGGCATGTAGTGTCCGTAAAAGTTAACTGCTGTCCCCCCTTTTTTATTTATGATTTAGATTTTTCTAAAAATATTTTTCTTAGTTTCAAAATCAGTTTTTCACTTTAAATTCTATATTTTTATGTAACTATTTTACATGTATATATATATATATAATATTAGTGCTGTTTGTCCTTTTCTCAATTGTGGTATAAAGTTGCATAAATTTCAATCTTTAATGTAATATCTGGACACAATTATGTGTCAGACATTATACCTAGAAGTAATAGCACCTATTTCATATGTTGCACTGCAAGATTCATTTGCCTGTTTTTAATGCAAAGTATACTGACTAGGTGCTAATGATTTAATTGATGTAGCCTTGTGTACCTTCTTGCAATTAGCTTAGAACCTGTTAAAATCAGCTATTGATGTTAAGTGTATTGTTAAAAAAAAAAGTAGCTTCCTTTCCAAAAAAAAGTGAGGATGGTATTATTGTGTAGTTAGAGTTCTTGTACATTATCTGTTTCTTGGCACTCCAGATTACAGAGAGAGCGAGCGCAAGCAGCAGAAAGAGAGAAAATGGGCCAGGGGTGTCAGGCGGCGGGCCAGGGGTGTCAGGCGTTGGCCCGGGGGTGTCAGGGACCAGCAATGGGAGCAGCAGCAGCAGCAGCAGCAGTGGGGGGAGGTGCAGTCCAGCAACCCCTCCCTCCCCTTCTCCATCAGCTCCCTCCAGCACGGGCGGGCCACTCATTGGAGCACTCCCACCGAGAAACAGACCCTTTACTCTCGAGCACAGCCCATGCACCTGACCAGTAAGTAAAAGAGAAATGCTGCATACAAAACTCGTTTTTTTCATATACTGTATTAATATAAATTATGTACTATACTTTTAGATTACCAGTAGTCAACATTACTGTAGGTTTGATGAGGAAATTAATCATTAGATAGGTTTGCTAAAGAAGACTTGGGACTTGCTATAAAAGATCTGAGATTTATGTAGATGTTATCTTTAAGCACACGAGATCTGACATATAAAGTACTAAATAGAAAATGGACAAAATGCAAGGGTTTCTACATTGGTTCCATTACAAGTTGTAGGTTGTGATTCATGCTTTTGTGCCTTCTCTAAAACAACCATCTCATTTTGCTATTAACCCCTTAATTGCTGCGTCAATTCAATGCCTTGTCTGTCATGCGCAAGAAAAAATTGTTCAGAAAAATAATTTTTGTAATATTGTTAATTACCATTCATTAAGCATGAATATCCAAGTAGAAAGTATCTGCGTACCACTGTTTTGATGTGGTAGGCTGGAGAAGTTGAATGGTTTTGATAGCCAAGTCACGCGGTGGGCAGCTGTGGTTGCTGGGCAGTAAATGACAAAACAGGTGGCAATAATTCTGCCCATTTATTTTAATTGTCTTGCACTTTAATTTTTCACTCACATGTTGTGCTAGTGTATGCACATTGATATTTATAATGCAAGAGTTGTCATATAAACATATTTAAATATATATATATATATATATATATATATATATATATATATATATATATATATATATATATATATATATATATATATATATATATATATATATTTATATTTATATTTATATTTATATTTTTGCACATAACTATATGTCCATTTCATAATATCTTGCATCACTAATTATATGCATCTTTGTCTTGTAAAAACACTTCACACACTTTATAATAAACTATATACATGAACATCAATCAGTTTGTTTAATTAGAATTTCAGGAGTGTGTGATATTCTGTTCAACAGTCAATCATGCAGAGCACAGCACTTCAATCTTTGCACTTTGTTTTTATGATCGAATCACAGATTCTACAGGAAAGAGTTGGTTGGGTTGACTATCTGGACCTAAACAGGCTTTTGACAGTCCCATACAAGAGCTTGTTTTGGAAACTGGAACATGCTGGAGGGGTGACAGGGAGACTGCTGACATTGATGAAAAATTTTCTGACAAAGATGACAGCAGTAATCAGAGCCAATGTATCTGACTGGAGGAGTGTTACTAGCAGAACAAAAGAGGCTAGGTCCAAGTCAAGGAAGCAAGGCCCAAGTCCCACAGGAGATGCTAAAAAATACCCACATGAACCTCAGAAGTTAAATATCAGAAAGACGGAAACCTCTAGAAAGATATTGTACATCTTTAGGACCATGAAGTATTTGGAAAAAGACCTTTGTAGGGGCTGCGGACAAATCACACTCATACACAGAAGATACAAAAAAAATCACTCATGAAGCAAAATTCCATCTCTAGGAGGCACTAAAATCCAAGTAGGGTAAAAAGGCTCCCAAGGATCACCCCCATCAGGCTACCCCACATCCCCAGGAGTCTGCCAACATAGCCCTGGCATCCTCCCAAGAAGGAATGAAGAAAACAGTTGGGAAGGCAAAAACTTAGATTACACGGTTGGACCAGGTGGTTCAGCTGCCTCCATTGTTGAAAAGGATGGGGCAATCTCTAAATAAGGCCGAGCTACACCCTGAGCTAAAGCCCACCCTAACTCAGGGTGGAGGGAGGAATACAAGCAGGGTAAACCACGCATGCAGGGGACAAAAGACGAGGCGTGGTGGACCAGGTAAGCTCAAAGGATGGCTGGCACTTGGCTTAGAAGCACGGGGACTTACCACTTTTGATGGTGACCCAGAAGAAGTATTACAGCAGTGTACATAGCACTGCATCAGCAACACAACTGACCTTGGAGCTCCGAACCACCTGGTGGTGGTTATCGGTACTAACAGTTCGAAACAGTTTCAAATGCTTCGATCATTGTTTTTTTAATTGTTTGAAGAGTTTTGCCAGTTTCGAAGTTTTGTTTTCTGAGAACTTTGCAGTTGTCTGTAATGTTTCGCTGACTTGTAGGATACTATCCCGGTGGAGAAATAGAATATCATTCGCTCTCTGCCCCTGTGAAGGGGGCCTAGTTCTGGCTCAAGTAGGCCAAATAAAACTCGCATAACTAATGTAACCTAGTAGCTAAAAGTAATCTCTCCTAAATTGCTTCATATCCACTGTGGGGACTCCAAGAAAAAATTATGCTGAAACCTTCTTTTTAAATAGCTAGTGTGTCTATATATTTAGTTTAAAGTGGGCATGTCTTTGCACTATGTATTTTATTCAAAATTTATATAGTATTTTACTGTATATCATAAAATAGAACAAAACTAATTTGTTTATAAAAGTGTACACTCAGCACTTTGAAGTGCCCTCATTTGTAAATATTTTATTGATCATAATTTTGTATATATGCCAATTGAAGTACTGTAGTTACTTTCCATTATGTAAACTAAAACTAAAATCATCTTTTAGAATTGACCATCAGGACTGTCATTGAAGCTATCGGATGGGAAATCTGCCAAGTATCCACAGATAAAGGCAAGCATAGTCTCAAGCGCCGATGCTCAAGCATTTCCTGTGGACAGGACCTGACGAGACTGATGAATGTTCAAAGTGGTGCATCAATACAGTGGACAGAGCTGCCCAGGGCTCTCTGATACGTGAACGTCCACCTGGCAATTTGTAACTGCATGGATTGTGGATATTAGTGATGCAGGAATAAGGGACAGTAAACTCTGCCACTGTGTGTGCTCCAGCTCTAGTGACCTTAACAAGTCAAAACATTTAATTTGCATATTGTGATTTGCCTTTCTGATAGCAAAGCTACAGTAATTTTAGTGCATGTATAAGGATTTTATTATGTGAATGGTTATTGAGAATACGTATTATGCTGCAAATAAACAGTCTAAATTCTGTATCAGCATTCATAATGTGCTGATTCTGAGCTACCATCACTGCCTGTTATGATTTTTGCTTAAAAAAGGTTTAGCTGAACAAATGTTATTGCTTACATCCCCCCCCAAAGATTAAAATAAGATGTATTAAGACATAATATGAATGCCTAAGTTTATTGTCTCGTGACAAATGATTTGTATTATTGATTTACGAATGACTACCTCATTTTAAGAGTATTCATGTTACAGAGGCTTACGAGATGTAGCCATTTTAATACAGGTGCCGATTTGATTGTTTATGTACTCTGTTTAAAAAATATCCAATGATACCTATTGGTAGAAAAGTTCCTTTGTTAAACTATTTATAGGCTAGAGCTGGATTGAGGGAGAATTTAAAGTGTGATATTTAAGTTAAGAGTAATAGTTCTGAAGAGTAACCATTGGAAATTTTATAACTAAAAGTTCTATTTACATTTGAATATGTAAATGATGAATGAGAAAGAACTTCTAGAACTGCATGAACCACTTTAAAAAGCTGATGGCTTTCTGTGGATAGCAGCATATATCTGTTGGGGAAGTGCTTTTTGAAAGACTAGTCTTTTTTTTTTTTTTTTAATCTTCACTGTTTTCAAGCATTGTACAAATTATTCCATGCATCACTGTAGCCAAAATAGTGCATAGAACTGGAAGGCTTATATGGCAATAATACTGCATAATGTTATTGGAGATAAGTTCTTCCATAATATTCCTTTGGCCTTAATATTTGTTTGAGAACGTGTATTTAACAAAGTATTTATAAATAATTACATTGTCAGAAGCAAACTATTTTTAAAATTGATATACTTGATATTCAGTGTCATCAGAATAGATGGAAGGTTTTTCCCTTATATTTTGACATATGAATTTCTTATATACTTAGAGAAAGATAGCTTGAGCTAATGTGCTTTCAGTGAGCAATTGATACAGTTGAGACAGGTAAAGATCAAACATGCACATACAGTACATACGTATATACACCTACACACATATATATACACACATACAGGTAATTACACTGGTATTCACACATACACGTGCACATTACCTGAAATTGTCAGCCACTGTGGAATGTCAGCGAGTCTAACTTGAATTACTGTTGGCTGGTGCTGCGTGGAAAGAGATGACACTGTTGATGCCACGGTACAAAACAGTCCAGGATGTTTGAGGGATGTAGTCCCCCCTTCCCCCCCTCCCTCCCGAAGAGCACCAAGATGGAGCTCTAGTGTGGTACTTGCGGTGTTTAGTGGTTCACAACTGAGGCAGGTCCTCCCAGTACTACAGTGTCCTGGTTTGTTGTAGATGGTTGTTTACCAAGACACCTCATCTAGTCCCCTTCATAGCTATCAAATAGTCACCTGCCCACCATTTTTTACTAGATGAATATTAGTTAGGCATCGTGCTTTTTAATGAAAATAGAGAAGGGAAGTATTTTTCATTCTGCAGTGCTTGATCTAATCTTCCCTTACTAAATATCTATTTTTCTTGCTCGAGAACAAAGTTATACAATAAGGACCAAGTACATTGCTGGATGTCTGAGCAGACTTGGGTCCATTTTCTCTTTATTCATAATAGCTGTTATATAGAGACATACCAGCTTTTAGGATACAGGTCTCTAGGCTCAAAGTATATGCTTATTTTTCTTTAATCGATTTACTCTTTGAGTCTAGAGACTACCTCATCTTCTTGATTACTCTATACTATATTATATAGAGTATTTAATCCCGAGTGTTTTGCATGAACTTTGATCTGACCCTGTGATCAGCTATTTATTTTCCCATTCTTGTTCCTCTCTGGACAGTCAGAAGCTTGGCAGAGTGGCTTGTAAAATAAAATAAAAAAAATCACAATGATCAGCAATATTTTTTTTGTATTGTGAATCATAAAGTTCACTGCCAATACTGTACTTTATTTTAACAGTTTGATTCTAGAGGTATTATTACACTGAAGTATAGTCAACTGCAAATGTTACCTTTTTTTTTTTTTAAAAAAGGTAAGTTTATGAAGTTGTCATACCAGCATTTCATTTATTTGGGGTAAATGAAGTTTGGATAGTACTTAAAAAAAAATGTACTAGTTATTTGTAAGAAAATTCCAACCAATTGCAAAGATATAATACAAATAACCTAAGAAAATATCCTAAGCAGTAATGAGGAGCTCATTTGCTACATTTGACCTTAATGTACAGATTCATGTAAATAACTACGTACCAGTGCACTTTAAGAGAAGCATTTTGCAATCAAACTCGATGGTTTTTTCAAGAATGCTAGACTTTTCTTAACAGAGGAACTATATTATGTTAATCTAGCGATTTTGTTTAGTATCTCATTAGAGAGAGGAAGCCTGTTAAGTTTCAGTTTTTCCGTAGGCCAATAACTAACTTTTCCCAAGATTCTACTCACAACAGCTGGTTAATGCCTACGGGTGATAATTTACTGTTAAATGAACAAATGGACATGTAAGGAAATATGCCCAAACGTCTCGCTCCATCCGAGAATCTAACCCAGGACCATTCATTTGTGTGCTGCCTACTACAGGTAATTTAGTAATAACATTTTCTTGTAGTTAAGCACATGGCAGTATTTGTGGTCATGTATACAAAAAATTTAATGAGATTTTGGTTACCAAATATACAAGAACTCAAAATATATCTTTACAAACAAATTCTGAATTACTGTATTGTACCTATTTCAAGATAATGTTTAATTTTACCACGTCTTGCATTAAATTTTTTTTAACATTTAAAAGTCGATACTTTAGTTAGCCCTTAAAAGAGCGGTCATCATACGTTGATGCACAGGGGTAATGCCATTAGTCACATGGTTTTCTCAATTCTATATGGTTGTATTGAAGTATACCAGGTCAACCAATCATTATTTAAATGTAATAATAAACTACAGAAGGCCTATTGCCCCATACAATGTAGAACAGAAAATGAGATGCTTTTACACCCATAGGGTTATAAAACCATGGAACTGCCTACCTGCCGAAGCCATAAATACAAAAGCACTGCTGATTTTTTAGATCCAGCTTGACAATCTTCAGAAAAAAATTGGGTGATGACAAGCCGCCAGCTTTCTGTCCTCCTCAACGCCACTAGATATAGTGGTCCTCTGTTAAATTCAGATAAATATAAATAGAAGCTGCCCTGTATGGGTCAATATAAGGCATCTCCTATTGATATAAATAGGAGCTCCTTTATATGGTCCAATAGGTCTATTTGAGGCAGCCCCCAATTTACATTGATATAAACATGAAGTGCCTCGAATAGGCCCATATGAGGCAGCTCCTATCTTTATGAATATTAATAGGAGCATTATATGGGTCTATTTATATGTATTTACATCACTAATATTATGACAATGAAAATTTTATTTAGGGAAAAGTACAAAAGTAAAGTAAAAGTATTATGAATATTATTTTATATACAAAATAAGTTACAGGCAGATTGTTGGATTTCTAGATAGAGCAAGTATTTACTGTGCCTAAAGCCACTAGTACTAAATTGTACAAACAATCAATCTTATAGACATCCAAAGTCAATACTATATAGAGAATGTGTTGCAGGGCACTGTTTTTGCTGACATCTCTCTCACAATGACAGATGAGGTAGGAGCCATGGGCCACACATGATGAATTAGTGTATACTATGACCCGACTAGGACTTAAACCTGCATAGGTAGAAGCACATCAATAAACTGGAAAAGGAGCAACGGCATGCTACAAAATGGCTTCTGGATCTGAAAAACAAGAGTTATGCGGGGAGGCTAGAGGTATTAAATATGCCAAAATTAGAAGATAGAAGAAAAAAAAGAGGCGATATGATCACCACTTACAAAATAATAACAGGAATCGACCAAATTGACAAGAGGACTTCCTGAAACTAATAACTTCAAGAACAAAAGGACAGATACAAGTTAAGGAAACAAAGGTGCTGAAAAAAATATTAGAAAGTTTACTTTTGCAAATAGACTGGTAGACTGTTGGAACAAGTTAGGTGAAAGCCAAAACCGTCATAGTTTCAAAGCGTTATGGGAAGTACTGGGTACTGGGAAGACCAGTACACCAGTACTGGTCTTCACCATGAGTATTCACCATGAGCAGCTCTCATCCTGTAACTACACTTAGGTAATTACACACATGTTAATCATGATCTCAGGACTCTGTACACCAGTTGATTGACAATCGAGAAGCGGGACCAAAGAGCCGAAGCTCAACCCCCTCAAGCACAACTAGGCGAGTACGCATCAACAAACTGGAAAAGATGCAAAGACATGCCACCAAGCGGCTCCCAGAACTGAAGGACAAGAGCTACGAGGAGAGGTTAGATGCATTAAATATGCAAAAATTAGAAGCTAGAAGAAAAAAAAAAGAGGCGATATGATCACTACGTATAAAATAGTAACAAGAATCAATAAAATTGATAGAGAAGAATTCCTGACACCTGGAATGTCAAGAACAAGAGGTCATAGATTTAAACTAACAAAACAAAGCTGCTGGAGAAATATAAGAAAATTCATTTTTGCAAACAGAGTGGTAGACGGTTGGAACAAGTTAGGTGAGAAGGTGGAGGAGGCCAAAACCATCAGTAATTTCAAAGGGTTGTATGACAGTGCTGGGAAGACGGGACATCATAAGCGTAGCTCTCGTCCTGTAACTACACTTAGGTAATTACAC